AAGGACATTTTCAAAAGCAAATAAGTCCTGTTTCAAATGCTACTTTTAAAGGAAGGGAAATTTTAAGATTAAATTTGACAAGAACTTTTTCTCATTGCAATACAACCCCAGAGAGAGTTACAGAACGGAACAGGAATGACCGAGGTTGCAAGATTACAAAGATGAAGAAGTCGTTTTTATGATGAAAGAAAAAGGTTTTAAATTACTCACTAAATCATTTTTATGCAAAGGAGTAACTTCAGCTCCATCATCACACGGCGCTGGACGAGCCCTGGGGTCAGGAAAGGGCTTATGATTGCATCTCAATGGGTTTACTGGGAACAGGATGTCACAGCAAGTAGTTGGCAAGTAATGATGAGAAAAATGTCTCCTCAGACTCGAAAGCTTGTTGCGAGCTACTAATGTGTCCTATAGCGCTGAACAAATGGACGTTCTCGCCAGAAACTGCAACACCTGCTCATGAAATTGCTGTATAACCCAATAGAGGTTGCAGGTGTGAAATCAGTGTGTGCGCCTACGTCTGTTTTGTCATTAAACCATGCATGTGTGTATGTTACTGTGTGGTTGTATATAAAGTCCCCCCGTTAAGCGTAGCAGGCCTTTTGGAGATCTGACTACGGGCTCCCTCGTCAGGCCCTTTGTTTCTTCAACCCTCCCAACCCGTGATCTGCTCCTCGCGAAGCTTCCCAGCCCGCAAAAAAAAAAAACTCCCCGAGTTTGTATAAACCCGGGAGGTCGTTGCAGCTCTCAGGCAACAGGGACATAATGTGGTTAACCGTTACTCTTTAAAACAAATCTCATAACAATCCATGCTGCGGCTGCTACAGAAGCGGGGGATTTGGATCACAGCCATGTTCCCAATCGGCCCCCGTCCTGGAGCCATTCTGCTAACTGTCTGACCCCTGGTCCAGGCCCCAGTCTTGCCACCTTGGCTGAGCCGACAGCGGTTTCGTACAAACAGAGATGCAAATCTGCTTCTGAGCAACGTCCGACCCAGTGTCGAAATCCCCGAAACCCCATCCCCCCCCCCCGTAACCCAGTTCGACCCCTGTGAAAAACTGTGTTGGAGCCCAAGCGGTTCCAAAGCAATGCGGCTAACGATCATGAGGGTTTTATCTTCTCAAAGAGCTCCATCGATCACAAAAATGCTCCCCCCCCCCCCGATATCAACTTTACCTCTCTGTCGTACCCACACATGCACACAATGAAGTAGCATAATGAAACCATCTGTCTTCTAGACGCTGGCATACAGAAGGAGATCACTGTCTTGTAAATCTTTCTCATAACCCCGGGCAGATAAAATGCAACATGCTCTTTTTCTCCCGGTTTTTCCGCGTTGGGCACGGAGGTCCGGCTGAAAGACTTGGCGGGAGATGTGAGGGAGATGAAACAAAGACGTGCACTGCTTAAACAGGCGACGGAGTGTTTTGAAGTTGTCTTGAGAACCCATCGCGCCCCCCAGCCCCTTGGGAGCTGACTCCCATTTAACCCATAAAGTTCACTCGGTTAAGGATCAGCAAGCACACAGAGAAGGCAGTGATGCTCGCACAGATATGCTCTGTGTCAAGAACACCATCGTTTTTGGGGATTTGCATGTGTGTGTGTGTGAGAGACAGACCAAACTCCTAAATAGCATTTATATGTTTGTCTCTGTTTTGCATCTGTGTGTGTGTGTGTGTGTGTGTGTGTGTGTGTGTGTGTGTGTGTGTGTGTGTGTGTGTGTGATAGTAACTTGGCATGCACATGTTCCAGGTTGATTTGTGTGTTCCGGGTTGATACACGTATGGTTGTACGAGTGGCTAAGCTGAAGCTATTTGTGTAAGTGGTATATGTGGACGTCTGTTTTTGTGATTGTGTTGACTGAACCCAAGAGGGCATGAGTAGAAACTCCACAAATAGTATTTACAAGTGTGTGTGTGTGTGTGTGTGTGTGTGTGTGTGTGTCTGCGTGTGTGTGTGAGATAGTAAGGCTCACTCTGTGTTGGGCCAAAGACAACAAGACGTTCCTCCCGGACAGAGCAGCTAGTCATGAATCAGGTGTGATATACCTGCAGCCAGCGTCAGCCCAGCGCCAAAACAAACACACCCAGAAGTGGAGCTGCTCAGCTCCGTTTCTCTCTGTGTGGAAGTAATTTCCGAGGTGTTGAAGTTGTCGCTTTTTACTTTGCTGTTAAAAACACATTCACGCAGTCTCTCACACAGACACACTCTATGTCACTGCCCTCTTAACAGGCACTTTAGGCCTACGAGCTCACTTCGCCGAGTATTGAATTTGCATGTTCTTGTTTGACCAATAACGATGGACACACAGACCTCCTTCCTGTTCAGACTCCTTCTTCTTTGCATAATGTCTCGATTTTCTGGCCTTTCGAGTGGCAGCAAACTTCTGGTCTCGCTTCGGCCAGCTGACTGACGCTGTTCGTGATGAGAGGGTACGGCAGTGGATAAAATGTTCCGCAAACACATAAAACTCGAGCAATGTTCAACATATTTTCCAGGCTACATCGGAGCACCAACATCTATTCAAAATGCAGCCACGAACATTGCATTGACTGAACAAAGATAAATACTGGAAATAACAGGTGCTAATGTCTCATCGTTTCATACTTCTAGTATTGGTGACCAAGTTGGAAATACTGTCCAACTACGGACAGCAACAACATTTCCCTCAAAGGGGGTCTCAAAGCCACCATTGCTGGCAGTGATGTGACTTCCAGGCTGTACGTGCGTGAACACTGTGCATAGAGACTCTCCCACGTTGATATTTGGGACAGTGCGTGAATTGTATTACTTCCACGGCGGCCATCTTGCTTTGGGTGAAGAAAAATTTGATGCGCGACATTATTAAAATCAGAAATAAAATCATTCAATGTTATTTTTTTAATATGTCAGAAATTCCACGTGCCTTTCAGAGTATTACATTTGTATTCACTCATATCTCTTATAGACGCAGCGACCTGTGGTTTCACATTGTCCAGACGGGTTTGTGACTTAGGACTTGTGTCCAGCTGGTGTTTTCCATACATGTGTATCTACAAGGAAAATATATTGATTAATGAGTGAGTCTGTTCCTATGAGACCCATGTGACCGTTAAGCGCTGGGTTTGCAGGTTAGGGCGTGACCCCCGGTGGAGCTGACAAGATGTGGACGGGCGGCCCCGCCGGCTCCCGGCAGGGGTGGCGGAGGGGACGCGCACATTTTACAAGACAGAAGGTAAGAGTTGGATTTCAGAGTCGCGCTGGGGTAACTGTTGCAACTACACTCTTCAACCCCTGCCCTCCTCACCCGGCCTCCCTCATCCCCCCGGTATCCATCACGTCCCTCGCTCCCTTCCCCTCCCCCATCGAGCCGTGGCCGCCGTCACATGGCTCGGCTCCGTGACCGTTCGTACTCTGTTTCACTGCTGTAAATGTCACCTGAGTTACACTCTCCCCGCGTTCCACAGACGGCCCATTATGCGCCAGCCTTTTAAAAATCAGCCCTCCTCACGTTTCATGTTTTCTCATTTTTACTACATGCCAGACAACCTCTTTCCTCCCGACTCACCCTTCCACAGGATAACATTCGTATTTTTTCTGTGAATGCCGGGGGGAACTTTCCCCCGCATTGTTGTTTTCTACGTATGTTATAACATAACATAACATAAGAGGTTGTCGCTGATCTAAAATTAAACTCACCCCCAAGGTTACTGTACAACTTTTTTAAGTTGGAAAGCGAGTAAAAAAAGAAATAAGAAATATGTATCTATAAAAATCTTTTTTTAATAGTAGAATAAACATAGTCACCCTTCAAATCATTTTACAATTGGAAATTTACCATGCCAAGGTACCGGATCAGATCCAAGTTAATGTTGATCTATGATTGGTCCATGCTGGAAAAATGTATCTCCTCGGGTATCTTCTAATAAAAAATGCCAATTTCTTAGGTGTTTTTAACATATTCCACTTTTTACATTGCAGTATATTTTTGACTTCTGCAAACAAGGCTGTTAGATCACTAACAGCCTCAAACGCCTACGAATCCCGGATTCTGACTAAACACGATACTTCTTCCATGTGAAGGTCATAAGAGGCCGGGTTTGACAGTGATGACAGCATGATTAATGCCCACCTCCGTTCCCTCTCACACACACAGCAAGTCAAAGTGGCTTGAAGAGAAGCTAAAGAAAACTGCCCCCAGGGCTGCAGAATATAGCCAGTGTTCGTCTGAGGATAAGACACTGTTTGATGAGCTAGGGTTGGACACTGGCAAGCAGTCTGGATTCATGGTTTGACTGAGCACCATCCCAGAGCCAGAGGTTGTCTATTCTGGACTACTGTAGAAACATAGTGGTGCAACATTGTAACAGAAAGAGGAGCAACTCCTTATGAAGTTATAAAAAATATACATACTTTGAGTAAAGTTTTTGTTTTTGACCTAATCATTTTAATTGAATTTTTTCTTGACATTTATCTTTTTTTTCCAAAACACTTTACCTAATATTTTTCACTTTTTCTTTCAAAACATTTATCAACCAAATATATATATTTTTTGATTATATTATATTGACGAAATAGTTTTTCATTTTTTTAACTCAATATTTATTTTATTTAACCCTTTTTCCATCACATTTTTTATGACGTAATTTTTTCCAGGATTCTTTTTGACCAAATTTTTTCAGACTTTTTTTGACCTAGACTTTTTTGATTTTTTTTCCCTTGACAATTGATTTAGACTTTTTCTTCAACGATATTTTCTTTTACACGTTTGACTTTTTCTTTTATAACATTTTTAGACAAAATATTCAAGAATAGCCTTTTTACGTCACATGCTCACCTGAACATCAAAGCATGTCAATTTATTTATTATAAAAAATAACATAAATACAAATGTGAACCTAAAGATTAGGAAATGTCCTACCTTTAATGATATTTGTTTTCAAAAACCTCTCCTCAGTTTCTATATTTACTAAAGGAAATGGCAGAATAATTTTCTCCCCTGCAAAAAGGTTATAGACGACTCAAAATCAAGACCGTATTTTATTTAGAAATGTGGGCGTTAATGAAAACATCAATATATTTTTTTTATGATGCGATTCTGCAGAACTGACAAGAAATACTCAAATTGAAATATGTAAAACATTTTCTGCTACATCCTGACTGGGCTGCAAATTTCTCAACAAATCATTAAAACTACCAGTGGGAGTGAACAAAAATACTTGAATTTACTCGAAAGCACATTGGGGCTGATTTATCCCTCAACAGTAAAAGTGAGTTGCTGAAGAGATGCAGTGATGTGAAGAAGGTCCTCCTGAAACCACCTTTGTTCACATCACCGCCTTCATTAATCTTCTATAGTCGTCCATAAAGGAACCTGTGTAGAGACCGAAGAGGTTGTTTGAATCTAGTGCACGCCAGGAGCCAAACGGTAAAGTCGGAGTAAGAGGAAACTCGGGTTGGCACGCCGATTCCATGCCAGTCCCTGCCAATACAAGCTATCAGGACCCGTAGACGAGCCCCCTTCCAGACTGCCACAGAGGATCTCCAGACTGCCAAGTCTTACAGCAAACTGAGGGTAGCATAATGGAAACCACAGATTAAAACTGCACTTCTGTGTTTTTCTTTCTCCGTTTATGAATTTTATGTGATCATGATGTATGGAATCCTACATAATATAGACTAAGTGTCAGCAAAATCCAGAGTTCTTACATGTCAAATGATCCTTCAGTGTTTTTATCCAGGAATATGGGAATTTTCTGTGTGCTTTACACGTCATTAACTATGTTACAATGTGAGCATTTTTTTCTTGACGTTTTATTCAATTACAATTCATAAAAACATCAAGTATGTTTATTTGCGTAGAAATGTTGAATAAAATTAAACTCTTTTGCTGTGATGTAAGAAACGTCTGCTCGAGGCATTAAACGCATCACATCATTATAATCCCATCGATCACCCCGATGCTGCATTTCCTTGGTTTCCGCCGCGTTGTTCGCTGCGCATCTCACACGAAGAGTTTGTCGAAGCAGGCCGAGCAGTACGGCTTCCCTTCCTGTTCCTTGAAGATGCCTTGGCTGACCTGCCGCAGGCAGAAGGCGCACACAAAGTGCTCGGGGTGGAACTTGCGACCGAGGGCGGAGATGCAGCGGCCCGTGATGGGCTCGCCGCAGCCGCCGCACAGAGTGCCCTGCCGAGAGTGGAAGTGCTGTGAGCAGAGGGGTCGACCGTCCAAGTCCATGAAACAACCATCGGCGAAGGGCTTCAGGCAGTCCTGGGGGGTAGAAGAATTAAAATATGGACATTAAGATCCAAGCAGGACTTGTTTCTAAAACCTGACTCTTTCCCTGGTGTGTTTCAGGACGTGCTGCGTATCTCACAGCTGCTTTTTGAGAGTCCTTTTCTTCCTGTTAATGGGGTGTTTGACCTCCTGACCTCTGGAGTTTGATATTAGTCACTAGTCATTAGTTAGGGCCAGGTAAAATCCTGACCTTGTTGATTGAATAATAATAATAATCATAATAATAATAAGTGCTCCATGTAAAACCATGTTTATATTCTGTTCTGATGGCTGTGTTGGCGATGCAGCAATTATTGGGCTGTTTTATGGGTCATGTTTTATGGGATGTTATTAATCGTAATTGTGGTGTTATTTTGAACGGCGAGTTTGAAGTCCATTGAATTTGATGTATGTCATGTTCTGGTTTATGCACAGTCGGGAAAGAATGGTTTTCTTTATGGGGCATAAAATATGAAAAGCTGCTATACCTCACGTCAGCGTGACATTTTGTGTCTAACAATTGCTCGCAAGTAAAGCTGCACACCAAACCGTTTTTTTGTCCAGATGCCGCATACAGAAGTAAGTTGCAAGGGAATATAAATGACAAACTGAGGAATACCGTTTCCTTCATTTATTTGCATCATTTAAACCGCGGAGTGTTCATCCGCCATACGGTTCTCATCAGCGTTGCGGTCAAAATGTTGCAAATAAAGCAAATGTGTGGGTATCTTTCTTGTTTATTCCCGGGCCTGTGTGCGAGCCAGAGCCCTGTGTGTGGTCCGAGGTAGAAGGGCTCACCGCGCAGACGAAGCACTCTGGATGCCAGGTGCCGTTGGCCGCAGTCAGGTAGTTCTCCCTCACCGACTCCCCACAGCCCGAGCACTTGGGAGAGAAGAGGTGGTAGAAGTCCTTGCAACAGTACGGCTTCCCATCCTTCTCTAGGAAACCTGCGAGATGCGTAGGACACGTGACAGATTCATTCTAACCACAGCTGCGGTTCCCGGTGAAGAGGAATGAATGCACAAGCCTCTTACCGTCGGGTCCAAACAGGCTTCCACAGTGTGTGCAGAAGAAGTGCTCGGGGTGCCAGGTCTGGTCCAGAGCTGTCAGGATGTTCTGGTGAACCGGCCAGATAGAGAAACATCACATCATGCTTTTGCTTCCTTTAGGGGATTATCCATCATTGAGGAAGCACAAATGGAATCATTGCAGAAGTTGCTGATTAAGGACTTTGATCTGCAGCATGAGACAGAACCGCAGAATCCTGGATTTGTGTTTTAGTTAACCAGACGAATCTGTTGGATATGTCTGAAAAACAAACCACATGCTATTGCATGTCCCCCCTCCCCCCTCCACCTCCAATCTTGAAAGATGAATGTTTAGATAAATGGATGTGACACATCACAGAACAAATTAGAATGGCAAGGCGAGTGCGGCATAAGTGATAGTTCTGATGGATGGTCACCGTCACGATGGGCCCCTTGCAGTAGGCACAACGAGGAGAGAAGATCCGATGGTAGTCTTTGTCACAGTACGGCCGGCCGTCCCTCTCAAAGAAGCCCGTGGTGCCCAGCTCCGTCTTGCACGCCTCGCACACAAAGTGCTCGGGGTGCCACACCTGACCCAGCGCCGTGATCATCTGCAGGAGAGGGAAGGTGGCGAATAAACGGCCCGTTATCACGCAGTCATGTCGATTTCAATGCTTTTGCATTTGTTTAGCTGGATTCTCTTTTTTTTTTTAACCTTTCCCGCGATGCATTTGTTGCAGGAAGCACAATGGCCCTTGGCCGTGGTGCGTACGCCGATCTTCTCCAAGTCAGAGCTCAGCCCTCCCAGCAGCTCATCGATTGTTTCAGTTTTGTTGCCCGTGGTCGATTCGTTTGCATCTGAAGCTGCTGTGCTGCTGCTGCTCTCCTGGTTCTCCCCTTGTCCACCTTCTGTTTTCCTTTTCACAAACTGTTTTTGCCTGAGAGGCGGAGGGGTTGTTGAAGACACTGGGTCCTAAATGACAAAACATACAAATATCTGTTGTTTTTAGCTGGATACAATGATTAATGTATCTTTTTGAAGTAGTGCTCAATGCTCCGATACTGAAGTGCTGCTTGAGGCTGTGCAGCGTTGGAATTAGTGCAATGCTGCCCCCTGTTGGTGAACCGGCTTAATGCTGCTCATGTTTGGAAAGTTTCTTCGCACACAAGATTGTCCCATATTCATCACCCCTTTATATGGACCATACGTTCCTGTTTCTTTAATAAACCACAATAAATATATTTGAACTATTTTGAGATATGCACTTCACAAACACTTCACTGACCACTTCTTCCAGGTCCAGGAAACCCTGCAAGATAGCGTCCAGCTCCTTAGTTGGAGAGTCAAGAGCCGGGGAAGCTGCTACCGAAGCCGGCAGATCACTGAAAGCCAGAGAAGGGAAATTAGAAATCACATCATATAATGATTTAATCTGCAGGAATAATAACTAACCCGTGACTCCGCTGTACGAGTTCCTTTTAAGGGAAAACTGTGTCTCCAAAAAGGTTTTTTACAATGATTTAAGAGTTAGGAACAGAAGCCTAGAGGGGTGCACTTATGATATGGGGTCTTTTCTATTATTTCTGGAGGGAGATCTGTCTCTGAATGTCTAATAATAAACATGTGTAACATTGAAATAAAGTTAGAGACGTTACTAGATCAGTAAGATCATTGTGCACAATAGCTGGAGCTCTTGTACATTACCAGCAGCGCAAGAATCCCTTTCAAGCAAATCCTTTTAAGTAATCTCCTTTTTCCTGTATTCACCGTTTACACGATTACAATGATTATGTGAATCAGGGACGTCAGCGACGGTGTTGTGCTTCACCTGTACACGTTGGAGCAGACTGGGCCTTTCTCTTTTTTGGTAAGTCCACTATTAACTGCGCATGACACCTGTGGACAAGATGACAAATGACTTTAGAGAGTGTGAGATTTCAAGTTTGATTCCCACAGAAATGGGCGACGATGAAGAAAGTTCGGGCACGGTGTCTCTCCACCTCTGCAGCCGCGGCACCTTTGCTGCCTCCGGCGCTTTCGGAGCGCGCGGAATTCAGGGCCAACTCTTCCAACAGCAAATCTGCGGCAGGACACAGGCCATGAATCTTCTAACCACACACGTGGACAGAAACACACGGGCAATCATACGGCATTCAGACAACCCATCGGCCGTCTTCCTGGGTGTAAACGTTTACGCCGGAAGATGTGACCCCGATGTGACATGAGAAGTGATGGCTCTGAAGCTGCCTCAAGAATCGTAGCTTCCTCAGGAAGTGACGGTTCCGCGTGTTGCAGAAGTGAAGTTGTCGTAATGTTGAGAGCTGTGAAAAACTCAGTGTGTAGCTAATTTCACTCAATGAAGAGATTTTTTAGCACCATCGCCTCTGATATGTTATCACCCTTATGTCACATAAATTACAAAAATCTGAACTTTCTCTAATTTATCGTCAGTGAAAGTGAATACATGTTTGTATTGTTATTCCAGGACATAAATTGTATGTTTTGATGATCAATGAAGCCCAACAAAAACACAATACAATTTATGAGCTAAAAAAGGCAGACGTTGACAAATACCAACCAGCATTATTAAAACGAGAGTACAAAATCAAGACAAAGTCACAGAGTAGTGTAAGAAGAAATAATTTACATTATTACAGGCTGAACTGCTTTTAGCTGCTCCCAAGAGGGACTAGTTGTGGGAAACAGAATAAAGCACCATCCTCTTATTCTATAATCAATTATTCTTTTCACTTAAATCATCTTTCTCTGGATATTTGAGAATCAAATGAATCATTGTATGTGGAACAACGTGTCCACAATAGAAGAATAACGTAAAACATGTCATACCGAGTTCGTCCATGTCGTCCCCTGCTGCTACACGAGAGTGAGTGGGGTTGGTTTTTTGCTGCTGTTTAGTTACTAAGGTAACTGGCCCAAATCATCATCTGGTGAAAATCATCACTTCCTCTGACAAAAGATGTTTTTCGTTTGTTGCGGAAGTGAAACTTGAGTGATGCTCTTTCCGTTTAAAGAGGAAACTAACGGATATCTGCAACTGAAATAACAGCTGACTTGTGCAGTTGTGAAATGGATTTAAGTCTGATACAAAGATAATATTATTTGATTGTGCTTTTTATGTATATTTATGCATATGACAGTTAATAAAGCCACAGTATTGGAAACATGACCTCACTTCAACGTGTCAAGTGTCACGGTTTTAATTTGTATATTTGTAAACACAGTGACAATGCAAAAGGCAAACACAATTGGAGTTGAACACATATAAAATAAAAACTTGACCAAAAGTAGACATGAAATACAATTTCAATGAACCTTTTCATTACTGTTTTGTATTCAACTGATTTTCAGTTGATTGGTAATTAAGAACATTTTAATGATCACTTCAAGATAACTCACATTTCAGTCATTTGAACTGAACGCATTTAGTACATTTTAGATGGGAAGACATTTTAGAGCAGAGTGAACCGTAATCAGCAGAATATTAGAGCACAATTTTAAGAACTGTCACTGAAGCACATGACCACGTGGTACAACTGAAACCCGCAGCTGGTATCGCTTTCATTCCCGGGTTCAAAATAGCGTCCCAACTTGTTCGTACTGGGGACCCCAATAAAGACAAATGGTGGAAGACCGGACGCATCTCTGCCGAGGGCGAGGACTTAGTTGATGTCCAATTCGGACAGCTTCTAACTTTCATTTTTGTCAACATAAGCTGGTTGCTACAGTTTTCTCGCACCACTTTGGTTGCAACCATTGTGTTTTAGAGCGGGGACATGGGTTTTATACGATTTTAAAAGCGTAACTTTGGGCACATTAATGTTAAATGTAATTGACCATGTGTTATATATTTGCCAAGTAATAAGAGTAATTTCCCCAAAAATAAGGAAATAAACGTCAGTGATTCATTTCCAACATTTTCTGAAGTAGCAGTGTCCCCTGCTACGTGGTTCCGTCTTTAACCGGAAGACTCCGTGTTTACTGTGCTGCCGTCGCTCCACGTTAGCGTCGTTGATTCACGTAGAAGTGAACAGTATTACGCAATATCTTACGTTTGTCTAACAAAGAGTAAATCCTGTTGAAAACGCACCGGATCGACCACGCCGCGACCGGCACGATTGCCTGAAGGCGGAAGGGCCACTGACACGCGCAGCGATGACGAGCCGCCTAACGTAGCGCCCAGGTTAGCTTGCTAACAACACAACATTAGCTAGCTAACTCCCCAAACAGCGGCGGTGACTCCACTACGGCGAAATAGGTAACGTCATAAGTGTGTGTGCCCCGTGGCCATGGTTGCGGGCTCAGCGACTGACAACATTGCTTTGTGTCTCTCCCCCCTTTCTCCCCCTCCCCGCTACCAGGAATAAGCGCGGCCATGGGTGCGGAGAGCAGCGCGGTGCGGAGCTGCACCCTGGAGGAGCCGCTGCTCACTCTGCCCTCCGGACTCACCGTGCACTCTGCGATGCTGCAGGATGGAAAGCCCGTGTCCGTGTTTGTTCACAAGCGGGGCAACGAGGACAAAGTCAACAAAGCTGCTCAGGTAGTCCTACTTAGTCCTAGGCTTCAGACCCCCCCACGCACCAAACTAGGTAGCATCTCAATCATGACATCACATACCAACCAAAGGCTATCTGATGCCCTCCATTCACTGCGGTCTCTATTTTGGTCACTGTTGTTTGTGGCATTCTGGCCGCATCAGTTCCCACGTTCCCTTCTCTTCTCCCCCCTCCCCTCTGACTTTCTACTTTTAATTTCCTGCAGCACCTGAAGACTCTGAGGCACCCGTGTCTGCTGCGCTTCCTGTCGTGCTCGGTGCAGGACGGCGGCATCCACCTGGTGACGGAGCGTGTCCAGCCCCTGGAGCTGCTGCTGGACGGTCTGTCCCCAGAGGAAGTCTGCGCCGGCATCTACGACCTCCTGCAGGCACTTGTGTTTCTGCACGAGAGGGTGAGCGGAAAACAAGCAGTGGAGCGGAAAGCACCCTCCGGAAAAATTGTCCTAACGGAGGCGACTGTAAATGTAATGTGATCACGTTTGTCTGAATTTGCAGGATGCTGTCTTATTCCTCCAAGCTTGTTCAGCTTGAATTGTGTATGATGTTTTATTTGAACAATGGCATTAGTATGAACAGTAACTGCTGAGGTGCTGTATCGCAGTAGTTGTTGCCATTTGGTGTCCGTCTGTGACTAACAAGTTTCCTAAATAAGTTCCTAAATGTTATTTCTTAACCACCAGGGTAAATCAAGCCACAACAACGTCTGCATTTCATCAGTATTTGTCAGTGAAGATGGTCATTGGAAACTGGGGGGGATGGATACCGTCTGCAAGTTCTCTGAAGCGACGCCTGAGGTAAGAGACCGGGACGACGCACCCGGGTCAGATATTTGAAAACCTTTTTTGTAAATACGTTTGAATGTTTCGATTCCCTAATTTATCTTCCAACTCCTCAGTTTCTCGCCAGCATCCGTAATGTGAGGGAAGCCAGCTGCATTCCTCCAGAAGAGCAGGTAAGCAGGTCAAAGGTTAAATGGAAGACCGCCTCCCTTTTCGTAGAACCTCTCTCATAATAGACACGTCATCGACAGGTTGAGGACTTTAAAATGCTTCCGGATAAACACGCTCACTCCCGGGACAGTTACTCTTTTGGCATGACGGTGGAGGCCCTGATCTCTCTCCTGAATGGCTGTGGTGAGTAATGCTGGCTCATAACCTCGACGTGCCGGTTTGGCCTGCAGGTAAACTTCTTCATCCCACTTCTTGCTCTGTTTCAGTGTCACAGGAGCTGTCCGACAGTCTGACAAAGACCCTGCAGGCGGGCCTGCTGAACTCTGACCCCTTTTCGCGACCCCCACTCAGCTCCCTGCTGGCTCATGACTTCTTCAGGTTAGTGTTTGCGTTTGCTGCCGTCAGCACTTCGGGAGAATTCTGTGTTTTGAACACTGCCTATTTTTTTTTTGGAATAGGAATGACTTTCTGGAAGTGAGGGATTTTCTGAAGAGCCTGACCTTGAAGGTGGAAGAAGAAAAGAATGAATTCTTTAAGTGAGAATATAGTCTTTTGTGTAATCTGTGCTGTGTTCATGCTAAACGGTATCAGGTTTATTAGATCCCACTCAGAATAGTTAAAGTGTTGTTTCCGATATATTGGCTAATGTATATCATGTAACTAAACCCCATCATACGCTCATTGTGTGTTTGTTGTGTAGGTTTCTTCTAGACCGGGTCCAAAGTCTCCCTGAAGAGCTGATCGCTTCGCGCCTCGTCCCCAAACTCCTCAACTCTCTTGTTTTTGCTGAACCCATGGCTGTCAAGAGCTTCCTGCCTCATCTTCTGCGGCCAAAGAAGGGTAGACTGGCCTTCCTATTAAACCTTCTGTTACTAATAAAAAGCCCTTGTCTGGTTTTTTTGTCCCTGCCAAAGAAGCAGAGGCCTCCTGTAGCATCATTTCTGCGTCCCTGTGTACAGAATCCAGTGGCGGAGGAGGTAACGATGAAGAATGCCTGCTGTCGATGTCCCTGTACCGCAAGCACGTGATCCCTCATCTTCTCAGGCTCTTCAAGGTCAAAGAGGAACACATCCGGATGGTCCTGCTGGCTCACATGCACATCTACGCAGGGTTCTTCTCTCACGATGAAATCAAAAACCACATCCTACCTCAGGTGCAGTGACCGCAGTTACCAGACTTTTGAACTTTGAGGTCAACAAAGGTCATCGAGCTCGGTGTAAAGACATAGTTTGACTTACCTGAGAAAGAGAAACCTGCATTTTTCGTTTCTTGTTTTGCGTGTTTGTCGTGTAGGTTTCTTCTGGGCTGTGTGTGATGTAAGTGAACCCGCGTGAACAGCCGTGTTGCCGCTAATGGAGATTTTTACTAATTTCCACAAAAGGTTACTTATGGAGGCGAGAGGTGCCGAGCATAAAGACCGGGTGCAGCGGGGAGCCGCTAGCTCGGGTCACTGCAACTTTACTGTTACAGATGAGAACAAGATGCGTGTGAAACATTAGCGCTGCATTTGAGTTTCGACCTAAATGTCAATTGTTTTGTCCCCGGCTGCAGGTTTTGTTGGGAATGAGGGACACCAGCGATTCTCTGGTTGCCATGACGCTGCAGAGTCTGGCGGTGTTGGTGCCGCTGGTGGGGGCTCAAGTGGTGGTTGGCGGAGAGAGGTCGAAGGTCTTCAAACGCACCACACCCAACTTCACGAGGTCAACAGAGGTCACCCCTGAAAGTAAGCAACTCCCACTATTGGACAGTAACAATGCAATGAAAATGACTTTTTAATGCCAATATGGCTTTTTGGCTTGTTTTTATTACCTACTATATACTATGAATTTGTAATGACATTATATTCTTTCCTACCATTCCCATTCGATACTATGACTCAACACTAATCCCGCCTCTTGTCTTCAGCTTCACCTGTCCATATAGTTGGAGGCCCCCACCCTCACGTGGCCCAGCCGTCAAAAGTCTTGACTTTGTTCCCCAAACCGACAGTGACCGAAGGCCTCGTCCTGGGTCACATGGGCAGCTCAGCAGGTCGCAGGGAGGCTCCCCAAATGTACCCGCTGCCAATAAAACCAGGTATGACCCTCGACCCCACCTCTCCAATACTCTAAATCAGGGGTCTCAAACTCATCTCAGGTGCGGGCCAGAGGCAGCCCACTTCATGGGCCAGACCATTACGGTCGACGGTTGGGGGGAGGGGGGTGACGTTGCTGTCCGAACGGTACAGTCGATGGAGGGCTACGCTAAGTCGATACCCCCCCCCGTCGGATACCCCTGCTCTAAATGTTGTGTTGAGTTGCTTTTTTGTTTGTCTGAATCTTTATTTTTATATTTGCTTCCGTTTCAGACGTCAGCAGACCGGTGTCCCTTCCTTTGAATGGCTTCCGTCAGGACAGTGAGACGGAGCCGCTGTCTTACAGCCCCGAGCAGACGGACAGGTTAGAGGGCCCAGTGGAAGACTGGCCCGACTGGAGCGACCCGGAAGAGAGCGAGACCCGAGCCGGACAGTTTCCCTCGCAGCGAAACACTGAACACGAGCCGTGCGAGGACGCCGAACCCACCTCGGATCTTTCCCCCACGGCTCCTTTGTCTGACCCGGTTGTACTCACACCGCCCAGAGGGGGCGCCGCTACCCCTTTCAATCCTCCCCCGGAGGCGCTGAGACCAGGCGCCTCCAAACCCCTCAAACTGACCCCCGGCCTCCGGCAATCTGCACAGGGCCGGACCGCGTCCTCGTTGGACGAGGGCTGGGCTCAAGAAGAGACGGACGCCGAGAACCCGCTGAACCCCAAAACCAAACCTGCGGCGTCCCGAAAGAGTGGCGGCCGAGCGGGTCTGGGGGAGGAGTTCACCATTACGGTGAAGAGAAAGGAAAAGCCCGACCCGGAGCTGGACTTGTTTGCGGACATGGTGCCGGACATCAAAATGTCCTCTCCGGCTCTGCCGCAGCCGGACGAGGGACCGTCTCCGGCCTCGTCTCTGCAGGGCGACTCGGCCGTCGACGCCGCAACCCTCACCGCCAGGTTCGCCGTTGACAACATGACCGAGGTGAGCGTGAGGTTGTTTTTTTTGTTAGACGCTTTAATTGGAAATTCTCAAAACCCCAAATCATTTTTCCACAATTAGATGTAAATATGTAGACTTAATGCCTTTTCCTCTCGTGGTGCCTCAATGAAGGCTCACGATGCAGAGCACCAACGGCAAACATCGCTCATTTGGATTGTTGTCCTCAAGGACAAAGATTAAAACGCTGACCGGTGACCCACGAACAAGCAAAATGGGTTTTGTTCTCTGCTTTATAACCATGTTTAGATAAGTCACCTTTTGGGGGGTTCTTGACAATGAACATTTACAACCTCACCTGCTAAGGGATTTGTAATATTTACCCAGATGTTCTTTTCTTTCAAAGGCTGAAGCCGACGGTTGGGGTGACGGAGAGGACCTGAACTGGGAGGAGCAAAGTTCCTGGTGATGACGTTTGATTCGTTAACTCGAATCCTCAAAAATGCACCAGAGACTCTCAGTAATGCTGAAAGTTCTTTGTTTTACTTTAAAAAGCATGTCAGTCGGACTGATACATGTTCTGGTGGTTGTTCTGCATTAGTCTTTTTTGTTGGGATAACTTGATTTTGACAAGTGAAGCCATTCTTAACCGTTTGCTAACTGGTCCTAATGTTCTATGATTTTTGGGGGGGTTATTGAGCGTGCCAACTTCACTACTGACATAAAAATCAAGGTGTGCATTTAAGATTTTGCCAGTTTAAATGACAGGACTTTGAATGAATGTGAAATCAAATTACGTAATTTATTAGCTTTAGGTTGCTGGTGAAGTAAAGCTTTTCTTGTACAAAATGAGGAGATATGATAAACTTGTACTTTTGTAAATCTTGCCAATATGGTGCGGCACAATTTTTGATGAGTCAGTAAAGACTGTTTGACTTTGTGCTAAATACAAACAAATGAACGATGGCTCGTATTCAAACACGTTTAATAAACAATATCAATGAAAACAGCCCATGTAAAGGTTTAAAAAGTGGTCAGCAGCATCAGGGCGTACAGACTCCTCGGGCCCGTTCTACAAATGAAGGCTAGGTCGCGGCGCCGGCTGTACTGATGTGGGTTATGAGGGTCCGGAGCTCCTGGAGTTTGGGTTCCAGCCATCGTGGAGGCGGAGCTACAATGTCGGGCGTGCCTTCGGCGATCAGCGCCTGCAGGGCTTTCAGAGCACTCTCAGCCGTCTGGATGTAGCGGCTGTACGGCTCCTCGGCGCCGGCCTCCTGGCGAGCTCTCTTTGGGCACGGCTGGGGGGGGGATTACAGGGACATAATGATACCTTTCAGGGTCAAATTCATCATTTCATTTGACACCTTGCTTGTACAAATGGAATTTGGAAAATGCTGAGCAGGGCAGCATGTAAAACTTATCCCAGGAATATTTTGCTGAATAAATGTACTATTTCCAGTTTGGTGCTCACTTCATTCATGAGTCAGAGTGGACCTTAATGCCACATTTGACAAAATTCCCAATATATAAACAATATCAAAACAGTCCTCATTAATTACACTAGGAGGTGGCGTCGTATTGGCCAGCTGCCTCTCAGAGGGACTGAAGGAAGATGTTATTTAACAATCACCAACCTCTAAATCTGGAACAGCTTCAGCTGTCTGTTTGCTGGAAGCGTTTTCTTTGTTCAGTTCCAGCCTCTCATTGTGTTCTTCGATCACTGCCGTCTCCAGCTTGAGCCTCTGCAGCCTTGACTCTACATCCTCTTGTGCATTGACGGTCTGCAACAAAACATCCTTGTTTACATTCATTCGTTTAGCGTAAAGGTCAATCTCCATTGCGATACCGTTTCCTTACCTTGCTCAGATAGTTAACCACCTTCGTCTTGGTTTCTTCTACACTCAAACTTTGAGAAATGACCTCTTCATGGTTTGTTATCTTGAATTGCAAAAAGGGCACGTTGAGGTTATAAGGCCTAAAGCGTACATCACATCGCACCTATCGAGGTCCTGCCCTACCTCTGCAAACTGAGAAAAGGCCTCCAGGGCGTGCTGCTGCAGCAGCCACACTCCGTCCGCCAACAGGACAGCAAACAGGCTGCTCAGCTTGGGAAGAATTGGATTCTGGGGGACAAAATAAATGGTGTGAAAGAGGAAGGAAAAACCAAAAACAATACATGAGCTAACCGGTGAGATGCTCATTGAATAGTCGGGTCTGATTACCTGGCTGTCAGGAGGGAAAAAGATCTTCCCCAGGGAGGAGAGGAACTCCAGAGCAGCCAGCAGAAGCTGATCGGCACACTTCTGAGACACCACTTTATCCACACACAACAGAGCCTGGAACACACACACACACACACATCAGCCTACAGATGTTTCCTCCATTCATCTTCTTAAAGGTGAACTAACCGCATACCTGATAAATGACTTGTGGGTCAAGGCTTTTCACTAAAATGGCTGTAATTGACAGAAGCAGCTGCAGAGTCCACTGGAGCACAGGGTGAGTCTGCACCTGCAGTGTGACGACACGGGGAACAGTCAGGCACTCACTCTCCGGTGTGTGTGTGTGTGTGTGTGTGTGTATTTGGATCTCACCTGGTCTGGACTCATTCGTAACCACAGCTGTGTGATTACTCCCGTTGCAGACAACACACACGGCTCCTCAGGGGACGATTGCACCCGCACCACCGCAAGGAGGGCAAACAGCACCTTGTTCTGCAGACAGAAGGCACTTTGACACTTGTGTACGTTTTCCTTTTCAGGTTCCCCCGCTGCTTCCTTGCATTGTTTTGTCGGCTGGATTTGATCATTCTGGCAATGACCTTACTGATGGCAGCTGGACGATGCAACACGTAAAATAGTGAGTTTATACGAGTGTGTCTTCGCAGTCTCCACCGGAGTCCACGGCAGACATGAACACCCTGCTCGGTGCTGGAAGGAGGCGATGAGAACAAGTGTCACGAGACCACCCGACTGACCGTACCAACCCGATCGTGAGCTCGTCCTCACCACTTTCTCCACTTGTCCTAGTTTGTATCCGCCGCTCCGCCAGTCGCTCAGAGCTTTTTCAGTGAGGTCCGTGATGTCGGCCTCCACGCGCCGACGCGCCTCCTGTGAGAGAGCTCGGAGGAGGACGTGGCGCCAAACTGGAAGGTTTCCCACCTCGGACGGCGGGAAGCGCTCCACCAGCTCCGTCTGGAAAAACAAATCAAATCATGATGGATCAAAAATCCCCTCATACAAATGTTCTAATTGTGCACAGTTCAATGTATGTTCATTTTAACGTATAGATTAAACAAATCACAGCTAGTGGTTGACTTGAAATTCAATGTGTTTATCAAATATTCGAAACTTGAAATTAGAAGAAATAATGAAAGTATCTACAAGACAACCAACTTTATCCTAAAACTATGCACATTGTTAACAAGTATGTACTAAACTTTTAAAGGAGGGGGAGAAACTATGTGTACTTTTGGGTGAATTTCAATTCATAACTGTAAAAATTAGATGCAAGTTGAAAACTAAAATTATATTTTAATTTCAGTTCCTAGCATTTCTAACCTGGTGGTCCGGCGTCATGAGGAACACCATGCGTCTGAGCAGCAGGCCTAGTTGGGACGACTGGTAACACTCAGCGGGGCAACATTTCACCTGGGGGGGGGGGGCAAAAAAAAACGTGAGGCCCAGTGAGGGAACCGGGGTGAAGGCCCCGGGGGAGTAAAATCCCGAGGGCATCCCGGCAAAAAAAAGGAAATGCTCTGATGAAAGGAGGTGCAAACCCCATGGGCTGAAAAAAGTCTTTAAAATTTGTGTCTGAAACTGAATTGTAAAATGCAATCTGCTGCGAACCCCATTTCTTTCTGCGCTAAATAAAACCAGACCACAAAAATGGACTCTCTCTCTCTCTCTCACTCTCCACCTACCAGCTGAGCAACCAGGAGGACATGATGCAGGCAAAGTTCGGCTGTTCCGTACCTGTAACCGAAGAAGAGACCGTGAGCGGTGCAGCACGCCTCTGCGTGCAGAAAGGTACGCTGGCACACGGGGCGACACACTCACCGCGCTGTGAAGCACCACACGTCGGTAGCCAGTAGAGCTGTCTGGGTATCGCTCTGCAGGACCGTGTTGAGCAAACAACGCTCCTGGAAGAGAGATAAAGAAAAGGGGGGGATGACAACGTGGGAGTCTGAAGAAACAAGATATAACAAACCGTAGACGCAGCAAGACGAAAGTGAAAGAATAACCAATGACGAAGAATGACGGGAAATCCTGCACAAAAACAAAGCTTCTGGCCAGAATATAAGCACCACACTTCCACAACAAATGCATATCAAACGCCATTGATTATTTTCATATCAGAGATTTGAGGATAAAATTCAATGGCAGGATAACGCATGAGCGTCCGTGTGTGACCTCACCAGCACGGGGACAAACACCGGGGGAAGCGCAGCCACGCTGGCACACAGTTGCACACAGATGTTGCTGTGTAGCGTGACCAGGACCTGGGCCTGGCCCTTCATCATCACCCCGGGCAACAGCACAGGCACCCGCCGCTCAGCACAGCATCGGCGGAAACTAGTGAACAACGCCTGGTAGAGAGGGAGCCTGGAGGCAGGGGAGGGGAGGGGAGGGGGGTATTAGACATATGCACATAACAATTCAGATACATGACCTAAGTCTCTTTCAAGACTGCTGGAAGATGGATGCATTTTTTTAATAACTACCTCTGCTCAAAGTCCTAAATCATCAGTCGCTTCGAGTTATATTGCTGTTAAATAGGAATTCAGTTTTGTAAGAGCCATTCTGTTGTTTTGATTATTAATCTCCCACCACTCGGGGGTGTGGACATTTGTTTCAATCAGGCCGCAGGGTCGATATGAACAGCAGGATTACCTGCCGCAGGTGTCGGTGTTTGTGATTAGGCAAATAGTTTTTTGGCTGTGACACAGCGAGCGTGGAAGAGCCATGTGTTAGTGACACCATCAAATGATCCTAATGAACAACTCTATTGGACTGGGGGGGTTACTGGGAACGCAAAGCAGGGTGGGAGTGGCTACGGTCACTGTTAATCGGATTAGTGTTGATGAGACAATACAACAGAGATTTGAGTGAGCAAAGAGGAGATGTTCAGGTTCAATGCAGCTTAAAAAAAGCCCAGTACAAGATTAGGTACAAGATCTCCCTCACCGTGAACTATACCATCCACGGAAAAGAAGCTTGCGTGTCGTGTTTGAGTGCGGTGCAGAATTTAGAGGCGTCTCGCTGAACAGTGCGTCATGGTTAGCAGTTTTGACACGGTTTTAGGCAAGAACCTGTAGCAATCATGGCTGATGTGCAATCAATGTTTCAGTTAAAGTTGCCAAAGAACATGCAGACCTTTTGAGGCTCTTGTGGTGGCCAGAAGAGGAGTGGCCAATTCGCAGCTTGGATTTGGACATTAGTGATGAGCCGGAAGTTAAAAGGAATCTTGCAGTAAATGCAATGCAATGTATCGACAATTCAAGCCGCACGCATAAACTGATCACTTACTTCTCCAGTTAGAAAAGGTTGAAAACAGCAGGAGGGTGGATGCTAGTTTTGAAGATGTTGCTTTCTTTAAGTAAGAAAAGGAACCAGCTGAGAAATGACAGGTAATTGACAACTAAAAAAAGGTGTCAATTTGGAGATGCAAAGATTTAAAGGAGCCACCAGGAGGACAAAGGTTGTCCGTCCATGGAGACATCCACTATTTGCCTCAGCCAATGGGAAAGTTTTCACAACGAGGTTTCTGCACCATCTACAAACTGAACCCAATTTACAAAGAAGAGCTTTTGAGAGTTGGAGGAAGACTAAATAAAGCTTCCATGCAAACATCTGCTCACCAGCAAGTCTCTACTCTTATACTCCGGCATATTCCCCAACAACTGGGCCATAGTGGCAGAAATCATGTACTCTCCAAGACTACGGCACAGGACGGAATTAAATGGATTTTCAACCCTCCTGCCGGATCCCATCATGGTGGCGTTTGGGAGCGCATCATACGAGTACTGTTCTTCGTCAGCAATGTTTGGAGGGTGAAGGATTTCACACTTTGTCATGCGAAGTGTGAAATCCCACTGAATGGTCGGCCTATTCCACAATTGTCTGATGATCCTCATGACTTTGAGCCGTTAACACAAAATCACGTTCTGTTGATGAAAGGAAACCCAGTTTAACCAGCTGACAGGGCGGGCGAGGAAAAAGATCAACTGGAGGTGTCTCAAGGAAGATCTAACGCGTCAAAACAAACTTAACACCAACCAAGGTGACCTCACTTTTCATCAGAAGGGTCACTAGAAGTATAATAAGCAACCACTTCAAACATATAGCCATAAATCAAACGGTGTAATGCTTAATCATAAATCACAGACACTACTGTGTGGTGTACAAGTGTATCATTGATTTGATGCTAAAAAGGATTGAAAACAACGCGTAGTCACCTGGGCTCTTCCTCTGAGAACTGGCTGCCCGTGTGCCACAGCTGCAGCACCTCCTCTGGTTGGGAGTGGATCTGACCCAGGACGCTCAGCAGCAGCAGGCACTGAGGCAGCTCGTGCTCGGGACTCAGCCCTGCACACAGACACACAAGGCTCATTGCGGTTGCACGTTTTGGGTCGGCAGATAGAAACACGGCGGAGACTTTATTATAAAGTTTTGCCACTGACGAAGAAATTTTCTTAAATACACAATCGGTCAGTCAGTCCTCGGTGGACGTTTTGGAGATATAGGAGATATTCCCTGATGCCTCTCAACATTGGATATGTCAATGCATGAGATTTCTGGGAATGATATATTTTATTAGAATGAGAAATGATCCCAGCTCATCACTGAAACGTGTATAAAACAATGTGTCCACTGCAAAGGGAGAAACAGAAAAGCATCCATCCACAGTACCGACGGGCGTTGGACTCACGCAGGTCGTTCTGGAGGACGAATTCGGCGAAGGGCCGTACGGCTAACAGCTGGAGCAACAGGGCACCCATGGGAACCAGAGCGGCTGCACTCAGCTCCTCGGACAGAGCGGAGGGCAGCGTTGGAGCGGACAAGCTGGGAGGGAACTTGCTGAAAGACATCAGCATGTGCATTTCGCTTTATTGGAGGATTGCTCACCCGGAAAGGACAAGTCGCAGTCGGTTCACGCTGCTTAGGACCACACATACCTGATTATGTGAAGGTAAAGACGGTGATAGCAGTTACAATACTTGGTCAGAAAAAACTTGAACTCCTGTTGAAAGGATGCAAGTTAGAAAAGGAGAAACGTAACAGACGTCGAGATGCCATCGCGTTTGTAAAGAGTCAATAGCGGACGTCAAGCAGACTTTTTGTACCTTTATGTAATGAACCAACGTGTTGGCAAAAAATCGACACATCTTTGCAGTTTTCTGGAAGAGCTTGTATTCTGGGCTTTGTGTTGACTCCTTTACAAAAAAGGACAGAAAGCTTCAATACAAAAAGGGGACAAATTCCAAATCTATAAGTCCCATAGAAGACTCTTGTCCACTTTGGCGGCGAGGCGCAGTTCCTCTTGAATTTAATCCTCATAGTTTGATCTTTTTTCCCCTACCTGCAGGCCGGCATGTTTAATCTGTTCAGCCAGCTCCACGCAGTTGTTGAAGGAGACCAACAGGTTCTCACACAGGCTGTTGCTGATGTCCCCGTGATGTAGATGTTCCTCCACCAATGATTGGTACTTCAGGCTGTGCCTGAACAGAAATAGTCACCCAACTCTTACAACAAAGTGATTCAGTGACAGTAAATAGAAAATCAACAAAAACACAAAGCTGCTGCTGTACTGACTTGATGAGGAATTTCCATGTGTTGGCATGAAGTGCAATGTCCAGGTTGGAGATAATAGAGCAGATATCCAACAGGTTGTGAATCACTGAGGAAGATGAAAAATAAGTTGTATCAATGGTCCAACGGTAGAACAAGTGAATGTCTCATCCTCAAAGGGTGTGGCTTCAGACAACCAACACACACACACACACACACACCTGTTACAGTGTCAGAGACAGCTTCCTCTGAGGCACTGCTGTCCAGGGGAATCCTGTCCAGCAGCTCCAGCAGAGCCTTCTGGAGGGAGTAAGCCTCCTTGAAGAGTCCCTGCAGCAGGTCAGCTACCAGGGACAGACGGCCACAGTAAACCATCTCACTCTCCTGAGGACAACACACACTGCATGCTCAAACTCACCCCGTTTTGGGGGCATTTTATGATGATTTTATTTTGCTTATTTCAAAATAAGCAATGCGGAATATTTTTACTAAAATGAGCCCAAACAATTTAAACAATTAATTTTACTTAACTCCTTCACTGTGTATAAATGATAAATTATCTGGAAAATCTTTATAATTCATTTTGATGGACAGTGCCATGCTTTCTTTTTTTACTAACAACGTAAAAATAATATAAACCATTCAGACATAATTATAGCGATCGCTGCGCTGCATCATTTCAGATGCATAAAAGCCGCGCAGCCTGGATTGAGCTCCACAGAGAGCTGCAGAGTTCCACTGGTGAACCGAACAGGCCAACCTTGCAGTGGTTGAAGGTTTCCGTCAGGACTTTCAGGATACAAGTCGGTAAGGAGCGGATGGCATCCAGGTCAGGGGCTTCCTCAAATGTGCACACGTGACGCACACAAGTGGATAGAGCATCAATTATCTGCATCATTGCCTGGAATAGAAAGAAGACACTTGTCAACATATTGGGACAGAAAGAGAGAAGGAGGTGAGATTGTTGATTTTGTTTTTTTAAATAAAAGTCATACATACCCTAAACTTAGTACCTTTTTGTACCATTTTTAAGTACACGGCCAAACAACACAGACAGCACTATTAACTGTACCTGCAGAATGTTTCTTAGAAAGGCACACAGTTCAGTGTTTTGACTGGACAGCCCTCCGACTTGGTCCAAGATTTCTTTGATCATGCCTTCAAACATGGTCACCACCTGCAGACAATAATAATACACTCCTTTAAGGGAAGGTTTAATTGAATAGTAATTCACAAGGAAAATATAATTCTATCAAAAAAAGTGTTTTCCCGTGAGCTGCAGTCACTCTGCTTTATTTAACAAATGCTAGTAAAGGTGTTCACATATTATGTGATGGATGACAGTGTGCATTCATCCTCTTGTTTACCTTTGGTAAGATCTTGGAGAAGCACCCATCTTCCAGCTCAGACAAACCCATATGAGGGAGGAACATGTCTGTAATGACCTTCAGTACACCTGCAGTGACAATTTGTTCATAAGACAGTTCATGCATCACAAAAAGTGCTCAGGGCAAAAAAACAGTAGTGCCATCACAAATTGTGCAATAGAGAAACTTACGTATATGATCATCCCAATTTTCAGAGTTGTTATGCAAAGAGTGGAGAGGAAGTCAAGGAAAACCCCAACATTACGGGGATTTAATTTATTTTTAGAAACCTGATAGATGATGGATGAGTGAGCGTTGACCGATCTTCATCCAGAAAACGCCCAAAATGTATTAAACACTACCCGTTATCATCCCGAGAGGGTTAGACAATTTTGGTGCTCAACGTAATTCATGAGAACAGGCCGATTGTCATCATTACAAAAAAAACTTATCCCAAATATTAAAAAATGTTCCACATGCTTTTCCAATCTTTTGTGGATTTCAAACCATCACGAAACTTGCATCTCACTGGAGTCAGTGTATGATGACATGACTCATGCATCACGATGTGGACCTGAACAATGAAAGGCAGTTAACAGGCACGTTAGCTTCCAGAGGATATGGTGAGTTTCGGCAGGACAGACTTGAGCTCCTGGCGGCAGGTTTCCTGACTCCACTGCATCACCTCGTCCAGGAGAGAAGTGTTGCTCTGGGACATGATGACGTCAGTCACCGGAGGCTCAGGGCAGCTGTCCGAGAGACACAATCCACACTATAAGAAATCGCTTCCTGATTAAACAAGAGCGGGACGAGAGTAACGACAGATTGGTAACGTTACGTTGTGTTTTGCTAAAGGTAACGTTTAGCGCTAACTTAGCTAACTGTTCACTTGGTAGAATGTCGGTAGAACGTAACGTCAAGTTATAGTTTCTTACCATAAAGTATTAGCTGTATCTTCATCTCAGGAGTATTACGTTCCACTCAGGCGTTTTGTTTCGCTAAGCTTCGCCGTTTATAAACCAAACAAATGAGGGAGACAACGTTAGTTAAGTTTTTGCATCGCTCTGGACAGACATACCCGCGCGCTGTTGTTTGAAACGGATGTGACGTAGGAGCAGCGCTGCTCGTCTGCCTTGATGTGATTGGTTGAAAAGTTAAAATCTAAAGCATTCAACCAATTGACGAATGTGATTAATGCAAAGTCAAACCATTGAAAATAACAATGATCATGAGTCTGAGGGAAATGATGTAGAAATGTAAGTTGAATACATTCTGTGTACGTATCTAAATAATATCTCTCAATAATATATGTTCTTAAATATTTTTAAGAACGGCATCATGTAAATTGTCTCTTGTTCAATAAACTTGAATCTAAATTCAATAACCTGTATTTAATACTTAATGTAGGGCACCAATGGAATATCGTAATATATTTTTTAAATGCCATAAAAGGTTTTGTAAATAACGACTTAAGCTAAGTTGATAGGAAGGTTATGGGTCTGTAAAACATCTGCAAATTGGTAGTAACGTTTTTAATCCAACGCATTATTTTCAAAATGTTTACTCCATGTTTATTCATCTTGACTTGATGTCAAACTGTGTTAGAGTGATAAAACGAATGAATCAATATTGGAAAAAACTATTTCTGTTGTACTGACAATATGCAGTAGACTACACTATAAATGTCTAACTATAACTATACTAACTATACTCACTAAAGCCATGCAGGTTGGGCTGAAAATGATATTTAGAGCTATTAAAGCCGGGATGATATGTATCCCTCAGGATTCTGGAATTTCTCCTGGCCCTGACCCGAGTGACTCCATTAAATGAGAGTCCGGTAGCTATTGTTTTACTGATATGATCTTCACTATTGAAGTGAGGCATCACACTTTCGCTGCACCGTGGTTTCCCGACAGAGGTGTCTGCGCCCGCCACTGCAGGAAGGGACTAAGCTTTTGTTTACCAAGAAAGACCACACATTGATGTTTATCTCTTTCAAATAAATTGGTTTACTTCATGCTGTGTAGTCTACTAACACTTGGGAGAAACTTGGGAAGAAAACTGCAAATAAGAGAAAAGGTTATTTTGTGGGTTACATTCTGTACGACTGTAAGGATGAAGAAGAAAGCCTCCAACTGGGTTTTAATCAGCCTTTGGAACCATTATTATAACCGACTGATTAACGTTTAATTACTTTAATCCCAACAGTTTCCAAGAAGTGGATTGAGTCTCACCCGGTATAACACTTCTCCCTCCAGCGCTGACCTCCCTGTTTGCAGATAATGGAAAGGTCATCCGCTCATACGAAACCTACTCGGGATTTGTGATGAAAACGGAAGGAAGATGCTTTTTTTACACTACAGCATGCAGTCAGTATGTCTGTGACAAGTCTACCGATGAGGGTCAAGGTGACGAGAGCTCTCAGGGTGTCGACAGAAGCTAACTAGAAAATGCATTTCCTGCTCAAAATGCGTTGGAATGCTAAAAGCTAAAAGCTGAATGAAATTAATTTCAAAGAATTCCCGAAAATGAAGGAATGACAAACGTCAAAATACATTTTTTAAAATTGCTGAAATTTTTTAAATGATGATGATGGCATCACAAGCATGTATGAGAAAGAGATTTTTCTTTTCATTTTCAAGAACCTTTATTTTCTTCTCTAAAATAGTGACTCCGTAAAGACATGATCCGTCTCCAGCGAAGCACTACATGGCTCCTCTGCAGCTCCGACACACAACTAGAGAGACACACACGTCCAGATTGACCAACCCCAAACTAATTAATTATAGTATGAATCTCTATTAAAATCAATAAAATATAGTTTGTTATATAGTATAACGTTGATTATTAAAATCAATGTTGCTTCTAATATAAAAAGAAAACGATTACATTTATATTAGAGCTGCAACGACTAGTCGACGTAATCAATGACGTCGACGCGGATTTCTGCATTAAAAAAAGGGATATAAAGTCAAAATCATGAGATACCACAGATACCATGAGATTTTGGAAAATCGAAATGATGAAATAAAGTTGAAATTCTGAGATAAGATGTGCGCAGGCTCCTTCATAGTTCGGTAAAGTTGGCAAGATATTTACAGATTCAGACTTAATTTTCCCAATACAGACCGGTCGGCGAGCTGGATGCATTGGTCTCAATGTGGGGTGAGGCCCGTATTGGTAAAATGACGGTAAATTACGGTTGTGGCTGGTTGTCATCTACAGTCCACTACGGTTACAGAGAGGTGTTTTAATAAAGTGGTACCTCATTATTCTGACTTTATATCCCCTTTTTAGTGCGGAAATGGGCTTCTATAGTTATGTGAATATAAAGACGCCTTGGGGACTGGGTTTGTCCCCTTACTGTCAAAACACACATGGCGGCCATCTTGCCCCAGTCAGCTCGCTCACCCATAACATTGTGTTGTTTGTAGTACATGTACTTTTTAAATTCAATTCAATTCAATTCATTTTATTTTGTATAGCTCCAAATTGCAAATTACAAATTTGCCTCAGAGGGCTTTGCAGTCTGGACATACTACAATGGATGTGTACAGAATAAATAACCATACATTTTCAACCGGTTTGGTTTGTTATAAATGTCAGAGATGTACTTATGACGCTGCATACTTATGAATCATTGTTATGTTCTAAAAAAAAAAGGAAAATAGAAAAAATAAAGTAAGTTAAATAAGTACACAATTTCCCTTTACAAATATACATCAAGAAATGCATGTTGAAATCCCCACCCTGTACAGATATGCATTTATGACACTGCATACTTATGCTGCATACTTATGAATAATTATAATTATAACCATGGGTTTTATGTTATTCATGTTAAATCAATAAATAGGTCACTAAAACTCAGCATACAGAATGGCTTTTATAATAGGAATATTACTAATATAACCAAATATGTTTGAATTTTTCTATGGTTTGAGTACAACCAACTTTGGACTGATTGGACCACACTTTTGGTTCCCTTCCACTTACTGATTTACACCACACCCCCGTTACTTTATATTCTTATTTATTGTTATTGTTAATCCTTATCGTTTAATATTATTTATTCTTATGGATTTCATTTTTTGGGGGGTCATTTTTTTGATCTTTGTGATTTTTGATCCATGTGTATACCTCCACAGTAGTCTAGTTTTCTCTAAAGGGTGAGGATTTTCAACATGCAGCATTTCCCGATGTGTATTAGTAAAGGGAAATCTTGCACCAATTTTTACTGCAAATAAATAATACTTTTATAAAAAATAATATTACTAATAAAATACAATAATTTTAATGATTATTTGTTTAAACAAACATGTGTCACGGTGTGGTTTATTTCCTGTCTTATTTTGTAGTTTCTGCTTCTTGTGTCCCTGGGTAACTTCACTTCCTGCCTTGTCCTGTCATCCCCTGTGATTGTCTGATTGTTTCCACCTGTGTCCAATCACCTGCACCTCCCTAGTGTATTTAAGCCGTGTGTGTCTCTTGTGTCACTTGTTGCGTCATTGTCGATTGTCCTGGATGTTTCTTGGTTCTTCCTGTATTTTTGCCTTTTTGCCCTTTTGGGAGTTTTTGACTATTAAAGTCCTTTTGTGTTTCGTAAAGTCTGCGTTTGAGTCCTGCTTTCCCCGCATCCCTGACAACATGTAATAATTCAAATGATGAAATCTCGTAACTATTTTAGAACATTATTCTATTTTTTAGAACATAACAATACCAATCTGTCCCCCCCAATATACAGCAGAAAATGTGTAAAATATACAGTCTCCTTTTATGAAACCTGTCAATGGATCGGCCTGTTGTTATGTCTTATTTATTTTCTTTCTTTTTTTTTTCGGTGACCGTAGTGTCTGCTCCACTTCCCCGATGTCATGGTTACCATGGAGCAAATATCCTAAACATGCTTGTGTTATTGCTATTTTGAGTTACTTTTAAAACTTTATTTTCACTGTCTCTTTAGACCCACAGCAGGTGGGGGGGTCATGAAATGTCTGATTAGACCAGTGGTTCTCAAACCTTTTCTGTTAATAAACTACAGAGGAAGAACAATGTTCACACCCCACTGTCCCGAATGAAAGCTGTACATGTTGCATTTTGTGATTCCTCCATTTCTGCTAATGAATAATCAAGTAAACCAGATTTCTCCATCAGAAAAAAACCCATTAAATTACAACAAAATGATTGTTATAATAATAAGTGCAACTTGTGAAAGTTAAAATATTTGTCATTAAAGAGTTTTACACTGCATACCTTTTCCAAACAACAATAATATGCAATCTGTGAAAGCAATATTAGCGCAGATATGTGTGAACCATATTCGTGGTTGCATTGCTTTGCACTACAAATTTTGCTTCTCAATTCATGCTCAATGTCGAGCTTGGATCTGTATGTAGTTTTGAAAGGCAACAGCAGTTTGTCCTCTTTGCACTTTTGTAATAAGGGAAGTTCCCATATACCTCCTGGAAGAGAGATAAAGCAAAGCCAAGGTCTGAGGAGTGGGCGATGGCGATGTGGGAGTCTGAAGAAACAAGATATTACAAACGTAGACGAAACAGCAAGACGAAAGTGAAAGAATAACTTGCGAAGAATGACGGGAAATATTCTACCAAACAAAACTTCTGGCCAAAATATTAGAAGATGTTTAAGTCAGGGATAATAGTAGCTACAACGGTACATAAAAAATATATTTTATAAGTTGAATTTAATTAAATGCGGCTTATGAATGTTGATGCATATACCGGATCTCTTACAAACCAATACTGGCCAATAACACCTTCCAACATCTTTAACGAAGGAAGCCTAAGTCATTACCAGTAAAGGACCACAGTGATAAAGACAGGCTCATGACAAGCACCCATGTACAGATGGGATTGAGCCCTGGTCAGGTCCAAGAAAAACTAAGGACAAGTTGATTGAAGACATTTGTTTGGCCAGTTCCATCGTGACCCTACTGCTCTGCTGCTGTGAGAACGGTTGGCGAGCATCAGACATCCAAACAAAACAAATCCTGCTCGTATCAAACACTCTTGGTTATTTGAAAGCAGCGGTTTGAGGATAAAACACAATGGCAGGACGTAACATTCAGATTAAAAACGACTTCTGGTTTCACGTCCCTGTTCCTGGGTTCACATTAATATTACAAATACTTTATACTTAATACTTGATACTTAATTAGAATGAGAAATCATCCCGGCTCATCAATGAAAAGTGTATAAAACAACGTGTCCACTGCAAAGGGACAAACATAAAAGCAAACCATGAGCAGCTCCACAGTATGTGGGAAAAGCTCAAACAAGCATTGGACTCACGCAAGTCGTTCTGGATCGTACCTGATTATGTGAAGGTAAAGATGGTGATAGCAGTTACAATACTTTGTCAGAAGAATCTGCTCCCCGATTTAGTTAGAATACATTTTTTTCCAGAATGTTTACTTCATGCTTATCTGTCTTGACTTGGTGACACAGTGTAGAGTGATGAAACATTGATCAGATCAATATTGGAAATAACAATTTCTTAGTTACACACATTTTAATGTCAATGGGCAGTAAGTTCCATACAAACATTTCTAATTATTAACTAAACACATGCAGGTTTGGCGCAAATTGACAGAGACGTTTCAGTTTTTCAAATTATATTTAGAGCTATTAAAGCCAGGATGATATGTATCCCTCAGGATTCTGGAATTTCTCCTGGCCCTGACCCGAGTGACTCCATTAAATGAGAGTCCGGCTGCTATTGTTTTACTGATATGATCTTCACTATTGAAGTGGGGCATCACACTTTTGCTGCACCGTGGTTTCCCGACAGAGGTGTCTGCGCCCGCCACTGCAGGAAGGGACTAAGCTTTTGTTTACCAAGAAAGACCACACATTGATGTTTATCTCTTTCATATAAATTGTTTTACTTCTTGCTGTGTAGTCTACTAACACTTGGGAAGAAAACTGCAAATAAGAGAAAAGATTATTTTGTGGGTTACATTCTGTACAACTGTAAGGATGAAGAAGAAAGCCTCCAACTGGGTTTTAATCAGCCTTTGGAACCATTATTATAACCGAATGATTACCGTTTAATTACTTTAATCCCAACAGTTTCCAAGAAGTGGATTGAGTCTCACCCGGTATAACACTTCTCCCTCCAGTGCTGACCGCCCTGTTTGTAGATAATGGAAAGGTCATCCGCTAATAGGAAACCTCCGGATTTGTGTTGGAATACGGAAGGATGCTTTTTTTTCCAGCATGCAGTCAGTCTGTGAAAAGTCTGCCGACGAGGGTCACGGTGACGAGAGCTCTCCTCAGCGTGTCAACACAAGCAGATTATGTAGTCAGGGACTTACGCGCCACTGTTCCTCATAGTGTTGTTTTTTTTATAGCTCACAGCCGGTGAGTCAAAAGCAAAGAAGTAATGGCAAGAATGTACCTCAATGCTGGAGTACAGCATGTACATTAAAGACCCAGTCCTGTGGGGAAAACCCACAGTAAAAGGATGTAGACGCTGGGATGGTTGGATGTCGTGGGAATAAAGGTAAAAGTTGTGGCTAGGACATAACAGAACCACCTTAACAGCCCAGGTATCATCATTTGCTGTCACACACATCCTGGGGAAAGATTGCAGATTCTTAAGAGTAAAACATTTTATGATGCGATTCATTCATTTTTATCTGTGTACATATGTATGTATGTAAATTTGCATATTATAAACTTGTTTCACCACAGACTGGAATACAACTATTGAGAGAAATATTTTGGCGTTAATGATCCACAGCGGCTTATCCTTTGGTGATCCCCTGACTTTTCCTTCCGAAGCAGGCCGAGATTTAAAATATCTCCAAAACAAAAAAACGACTTTGGTTAATCCATGATTTGGTTTCCTCTGGCAACACCATGAAGTTTACTTGTGGTTTTCATTTAAAATTCTCAACAACAGTTGGATTTCATGAAATTTGATTCAGGAATTTCAAAATCCTTCAACCTTCTCTTTAAAGCCGTCGTCAGGTCAACTCTCTCACCAGCTACGTTGGTTTAGAAACAATAGCAATCAAATGACTGTAAAACTTAATGCTTATTTGTAAATGTTGGCATGCAGACTCGCAAAACTTGAGCTGTAGATTTAAGCCGTGTCACAAAACCATCCCACTAATGTTGGTCTACCACTTAATAAATGAATACAAACCGGAAAATTATACAATGTGTGTGAAATTGATTGTCACGTCACAAATGAATGATTATAATGGAGGCAATTAGGTTGCCCAATGTGAGCTGGAAATTAAGAAAATAGGAACACGCCTTTTTTTTTTTTTTTAAAATCAATGTTTTTGTTATTGTCTCCCATTGTTAGAGCTTATATTCTTGTATCCATCTGTAAAGCCCTGTGGAGCTCGGCCGGAGTTTTATCATTGCAAACACAGGCTTTCAACCATGACAGCCGGTAACAGCCCCTCTTATCCATCTCTGCCTTTTTTTTTAACACCAAACTTTCCCTCAGAGAAACAGGATATGCTAGCGATTCCAACTGGCTCACCCTTTCCTGTATGGACTTTACGCTTGGCACGCGGCCTTCTATTTGGGTAGAGTCAATCAGGCACCAAGCAAAACACAAGAGATGAATCATTCTATTAATGGAGGAAAATTGAATTTGAATAAGAGTGAAAAAGGTACAGTCAAAAAACTTTTACACGAGGGTTGTTTTGGAACTAATGAATGAAGGCAGGTATTTCAAATGAGACGCGGGGTCATTTTTTGTCGTCAGACCAGGTGATCTCATAGTCGCTGAAGGCACTCTTCAACTTCTCCACAGACACAGAATGGTCTGCTTTACCAAACGCCTGAAAATAAACCAGAAAGAAATTGCATTGTTACATAAAAAGCTTACTTGGTATTTATTTTGGTGTTTTAAGAGTATTTCGATTTAGCTTTTAATTTCCACGGTGGCTCCGAAGTGCAAATCACAACGGCAAATAGGAAAACACAACGATCAGAAGGGTCCGTCTTCTGCTATGAGGCCCTGCCCTTTCCGTAAGTTAATGTTGTTGTCTTTTCCTATTTGCCGTTGTGCTTTCTTACTCGTCGTTGTCTTTTCCTATTTGCTGTTGTTTTCCTAGTTGCCGTTGCGATTTGCACTTCAGAGCCACCGTACATTTCCAATCAAAAGAAACTCACAGTCGATTCTCCAAACACCCTGAGTTTTTTCTCTTGGCTGTTGTGCTCGATCTTCCCTCCTCCGAGGCATTTACACTCCATCCCCAAGGCCTCCATAGCTGGATTTACCTTCTCAAAGATGTGATCTGTCAACAATTCAAACGATTCCATCAATAACAACAAACGGGTCAACAGGATATACGACAGTCAAACGAGCAACAATGCACAGCTTTGTACTGTCACTAATGTCCCATCATGTATTTCAAATTGTCTGGTTGGCAAACATTGCACCTGCCTGGTGTGTTAATTTAATTTGTACACTCATGTCTATTAAAAGAAACGTGGTTTCAAGTCGCGGCCTATTTTAATCTGCCTCTCAGGGCATTTTTCCGTGACTTCTCCAGCCGAAACAGACGCACTTTGAAGCTCCTCTGCGGTTCTAAACTTACTGTGATACTCTGCGCTTTTTGTGCCGCGGACTATGTCTTTGTGCGCATCGCCACCTTTCACTTTCACTCTCAGCAGAATGTACTTAAAGGTTCCTTCTGGGTCGATCTCCACCACGGGGATGTTCGCCAGAGCGTCTGCCATCGTGACGGTGACTTTGGGCCCGACAGCACCGGAGGGTCCGTCGGACTGATCTCAGGTCTGCAGACAACACGGCGCGCGCGCGCGCGCGGCTTTATTTGGGACGTCTATTTCCGGTCTTAAAGGGACAGATCGATTTGCCACCTGAGGACGGTGCACGCGGGCGACACTTTGTGGCAAAAGACGGATCTGTGAAAATGTCGAAAGGCAGATATCATGTGGTGGTTGTTGAGATCAATGAAACGCAACATTCAGCAGCCCAGTTCGAAGCGAAGGGAATAAATCAACAAAATGTCCCCTTATGTTTCATTCACTCTTTCACGAGGTCATTTTTCACTCGTCACTTTGTCACTTGTTCGCTAGTGCACTTTATTTTTTAATATTTTTTAACTTTTTAAATATTTTAAATTTTTAACTTTAATTTTATTCTCTTATTTTACACTAACCCATAGCCTTATTCTACTAACCCAAAGCATTAGCATTTCATTTTATTTTATTACTTGTGCACTGCTGTCTTGTTGTCTATTGTTACACTGTCTACTGTCACGCACCAACCGCCAAGTCAAATTCCTTGTATGTATGACATATTTTGGCAATAAATGTTTCCTGATTCCTGATTCCTGATTCCTGAGGTCTCTTTGCTGTCCTGGCTCCTAAATGGTGGAACGAGCTCTCTGATGGCTTCAGGACAGCAGAGACTCTTTACATTAAACGAAAGACGCACCTCTTCAGACTCTACCCTAACTAAAAAAACAACACTTATAATGGCTGTTCTTATTGTACTTATAATGGCTCATGGCAAGTTGTAAATCGGCTTATCTTGATGAAATTGCCCTTTCTTGTTTCTTGTTCTTCTGGGTTTGTGTCCTTATGGTTGAAATGCACTTATTGTAAGTCGCTTTGGATAAAAGCGTCAGCTAAATGTAACGTAATGTAAGAATGACAATCACAATCAGAAACATTTATTTGACAAGTATGTTGGACATTGGAGACTGGTGCATACAAAAGAGAATAAACAAACAATAGAATATAAAGCAGAGGATGGACTCAATGATGGCCGTGTGAAATCGCACCATCATTGTCTTTGGCAGGTAGAATTTCTTCTTATTTCCTATCGCAAGACAAGATTTTCCGCTCGTGTCCATCAGAAAGGTCAAAGATCAGAGTCAAAAGCTGATAGGGATGTCGTTTTTGGTCCAAGATCCCTTCAGCCAGGATGGATGTTTCTGCCACAGGCACTTGAACCTCTCCTGCATTGACACGACTAATACGACAGCGGCGATACACAGATGTTTTATTAATCTTTCGAGACTTGCAAATTCAGCAGTGGTAGGTTTTATTATTACAGTAGTCAAAAACACTAGTAGACCCTTTAGTCGCCTCACCATGATCACATCTCTCACGCATGTTCTAATCAAAGCTGAAACGGAGGCTCTTCCCATGGGTCTTGTTTAGTACAAGCTCATTAAGGAGTTTATATTATTTTTCAGGGAAAAGGGTGGAGGTCAAGAGGTGTCAAAAACACAACTATTCAGCGTGCCAGGTCGGGGAGGAAGGATCTGAACTGTCACTTCTGGAAACACAGGCAGCCGGCAGACGCCTCTGCTCCAGCGCCGCACGCTTCCTGTCTCTGGGTAATGAAAAAAATAGCGGTAAAGTGTTTGCCGCCACTGCATTGTTTTTTATTTTTCCCTTTCCTTCTTTTTTTAATGACCACATCCTCTTACATCCTTTGAACTGCGGAAAGGCCAGTCCCACTGTGTGGATCTTCTGATGGCACATTTGAAATGAAGCAGAGGCATGAAGCTCGCACTTTATATTTTTGCTTTACTCTGGTGTGTTAAAATGGAAAAAACAAACGGCAACAGCGGGGCATTTGTTTTGCCACTCTTACTTACTTACAAAAATAACCACTACAGTGTTGAAAAGTAGCCTTGATTTAGAAAACTCGATGTAATCCAAAACCAGACCAAATCAAAACCAAGGCACAAAAGAAAATCAAACAAATCAGCAGGTTGTCGCCATGTTTTTGCTTTATATTTATTACAACATCAGATAAACTTGTTTTTGTGGCAAAGTTCTCCCACACTCACTCATCTTATCATCTCACAGGATTTCACAGCTTCACCCGCCCACCTCCCCACTTTGGTACGTGGGCGGACTCTCCACAATAATATTATCATCTAAATGTATTCAAGTATCAAAATTAGAATTGTAATTGCATGAAATACCATGAAATGGAGACACTCAAGTGTGGCACAACTCTGACCATTCATTCAATAATCAAATACTTTCCAAAGCCAAACTGGTGAAAGTATTAACACAAAGGAATTTTGCGTCAAAGTGAAAAAGAGAGGGGAAGTTTTCACGGAACTTGGTGGGATGGGGAAGAATTGGTGGGAGGTGGGAGGTGGGAATTTCCACTGGCTAGCCCCCCTTTTCATAAGTGCTTCCAGGAAAGGTGGACCAGACCTATGAAGAGTATAAAAGCAAGACCCTCTGGACACAAAAGTCAGAATCATCTCAATCTCAGACACGGCGACACTAAAGACTTACTAAGAATCTTCTTTTGGTCATCACACCCGCCACTTAATATGGTAAGTGGACAAACCAGTTTAGTTCTCTTACTGAAGATCCCTTCATTGCTATTTGACAGATTTATGATTTCAAACTATGTTAATCTTTTTTTAACTTATTCTTACAGTTCTGCTTTGGGTTACTTCAGACCCGCGGGCCTAAGACCTCGTGGATCAGCTTGACTTTTCTTTGCTCAAGTATGTTAAAAATGTGAACAGAATCTTTAGTCCTAGAATTTTTTCTTTTATTGTATTGTCTTTATCAACAGTCTAATTTTTCACCCTTCATCCGTCCTCAGTCTTCTGCACGTGGACAAACGTAGAATGCTGGTCCTACTACTACTCTAACAAAACCATGAATTGGGAAGAAGCCCGAACCTGGTGCCGGGAGCACTACACGGACATGGTGGCCATCCAGAACCAGGACGAGATCAGTCATCTCAACAGCTGGCTGCCCAAGGCATCCTCCTACTACTGGATCGGAATACGCAGGATCAACAAAGTCTGGACTTGGGTGGGAACCAACAAGGCTCTCACCCCAGAAGCAGCAAACTGGGCAATAGGAGAGCCGAACAACCTCAAAAGTCGAAAGAGGTCCATGGCGAGCGAGGACTGTGTGGAGATGTACATCAAGAGGGATTCGCAGGCAGGCAAATGGAATGACGAGAGGTGTGCAAAGTCGAAGACGGCTCTTTGCTACACAGGTGAGCAAAAGTTAGGGATTCAAGAACTGCTCCTTATAGCCAAAGTCTTCATTTTGTTAATTTATGGGAAAATCCAAATAAATACCTATCAACGTTTTTTTTCTTATTTTAAATGAGAGCTCTGAGAAATAGGAAAAATGTTGAATGAGTTGTACGAATATACTACTTCTTTCCCCAGCCGCTTGCAAGAAGGACTTATGCGGCCATGGAGACTGTGTGGAAACCATCAACAGCTATGAGTGCGCCTGCTTTGAGGGCTTCTACGGAGAAAAGTGTGATCAGGGTAAGAAAATACAATTCTTAAGTGTTCAAACGTCAAATGTTCACACAGCCTGGACCTGACATCTTATTGTTTCTTGTCTTCTTCGCTGACAGTTGTCCAGTGCGACGCAGAGGAGGTGACCGCTCCAGACAAAGCGAGTGTAAATTGCATCCACAAGTATGGAAACTTCTCCTATGACTCCATGTGCCACTACTCATGCGAGGAAGGATACCAGCTCAGTATGTCACGGCCCCTGACATGCACTGCCTCTACGCGGTGGTCCGAGCCGCCTCCTACATGTGAATGTGAGTTCAGGAGTATTGCACATCTGCAAAAAAAAATAAGCAAGGCGACATTGACCACTAGTGATGTCGAGCCCTCGAATCCACGAGGATCGTGTTGCATCATTACAATGATGCAAACTGCTGTAATGTGTTTCTGATGGTCCTCGTCTTCCACAGTGGTTCGGTGTCCGGTGCTGTCAAGCCCAGCAGGAGGATCCATGAAGTGCTCAGATCCTCTGGGTCCCTCCGGCTACCGGTCCACCTGTGCGTTCGCCTGCGATGAAGGCTACGTGCTCGCCGGTTCCACGTCCAACACGCTGCAATGTGAAGCCTCAGGAATTTGGAATGCGTCACAGCCCCTTTGCCTCGGTACACTGAAATGTTGACACTATTGAGCTTGCGTGATTCTATAGTATCCATTATATCAATGCTAGTCAATTATGATGGTGTTAAAAATAAGAAAAATAGCAATATTACTTATCGGTTCCGCCCCCCCATTATTTCTGCAGCTGTCCAGTGCCCGTCTCTCCTGCAGCCGGACAATGGATTTGTCAGCTGTGGGGACGATGCAGGAAAACACCAATACGGAAACACCTGCAGCTTCAGCTGTGCCGCCGGCTACCTGCTGGTGGGACCGAGCAAGATGACATGCACGTCGGCCGCCGTGTGGAGTGAGAGGAAGCCTCGCTGTGAAGGTGAGGGCGGGCCTACAGTTGAATCCAACCACCCTCCATAAAATGAGAAAAGGCTCTTGTTTTGTGCCTATCACACATCTCATCATCTTTATTGTTTTATCTACAGAAATCGGATGTCCTGCTCCTCAGATCCCAACAAGTGGTAAAATAACTTGCAGCCCTTCCCTGTCCTCCCTTTCTTCTACTGGGACCTCCCATCCACTTGGCACGGTCTGCACCTTCAGCTGTGATGAAGGCCACGAGCTGCACGGTGCACTCAGCATGGAGTGTGCAAATCCAGGCCGGTGGACCTCGGCACCACCAAACTGCAAAGGTACCCATATGGACCCACTCTACCGGCATTGTTAGCAATACCTACGTTATTTTATGCATGGGTTAGGGTTGCGTCACTAAAATGAGATGTCCTCCATCGCGTGATTGCTAACATCACAATCCTTCCTCATTCCTTGATGGTCCTTGGTTTCCACAGTGGTCCAGTGTCCAGTGCTGTCAAGCCCAGCAGGAGGATCCATAAAGTGCTCAGATCCTCTGGGTCCCTCCGGCTACCGGTCCACTTGTGCGTTCGCCTGCGATGAAGGCTACGTGCTCGCCGGTTCCACGTCCAACAAGCTGCAATGTGAAGCCTCAGGAATTTGGAATGCGTCACAGCCCCTTTGCCTCGGTACACTGAAATGTTGACACTATTGAGCTTGCGTGATTCTATAGTATCCATTATATCAATGCTATTATGCTTCTCAGTCAATTCTGATTATGAATCCAACCACCCTCCTCAAAATTAGAAAAGGCTCTTGTTTTGTGCCTGTCACACATCTCATCATCTTTGTTGTTTTATCTACAGCAATCGGATGTCCTGCTCCTAAGATCCCAACAAGTGGTCAAATAACTTGCAGCCCTTCCCTGTCCTCCATTGCTTCTACTGGGACCTCCCATCCACTTGGCACGGTCTGCACCTTCAGCTGTGATGAAGGCCACGAGCTGCACGGTGCATTTGGCATGGAGTGTGCAAATCCAGGCCGATGGACCTCGGCACCACCAAACTGCAAAGGTACCCATATGCACCCACTCTAATGTTAGCAATGCCTACGTTATTTGTAATTAACGTAGTATTTGCGCCACTAAAATGAGATGTCCTCCATCGATGTGTGATCACTAAACCCTTTTCCATTTTCCTGCCCCCAAAGCCGTGAGATGCCCGTCGCTCGAGGCGCCTGAGAACGGTCACATCAACTGCTCCAACAGCGAGCCGGTGTTCAACTCACAGTGCACCTTCTCATGCAATCAAGATTACTCACTGGACGGACATGAGCTGCTGACCTGTGATCGTCATGGCGAGTGGACCACCGGACAGAAACCCACCTGCCAAGGTAAAACAGAGAAGGAACAAACGCTAGAAGATATTTTGTTACAACACCTGAATGAAATTCATGTTTAAAGATAGATAAAAAAGATCAAATAATTGACATTTGATGATGTTTCTGCAGCTCCCCCATCTGCGGTGACTGCCGTGGCGTCTGGCGTGGCAGCAGGGGGCGCTATGTTGTCTGGACTTTCTCTGGCCCTGTGGATCATGAAACGACTGAAGCAGAAAGCAAACAAGTTTGAGCTCAGCAGGTTAGATAAAGCTTTCACTAAGCCTAAATTATGCTTACACTTGTTTTGTTTTTTTGTTGAAGGACAATGCTCATCTTTTTCTTTCGTCTTTTCTCACAGCAACTCTGACATAGGAGAATCTCCACAGGTCTACAGAAACAGCATCACCAGCCTCATATAGAACACAGTCACATGTTTGAGAGACAACGGAGGACATCTGAATTCATCTCAAACCATAACTGTCAGTCACCAGTCAGAGTAATTTCAACAACATGTCATTGGTATTAATGGAAAACATCTATGATGAGTAAAGGGGGTCTTTCAGACTATTGCATTTGATTGTGGTATTTGTTTGTGTTGAATTTCATGAGGTGCGCGGTCATTTTGTCCACTCATCTGCAGTATTTTCCTCCCAGGGGGAGTTTTACATTGAACACATTGTTCTAAAGCTTTATGAATATGCTGGAAAGGCGGCTCCATTGAAGTTATTGTAGATATTAAACGCTATAGATGCCAAGAGGATCGTTGTGGCGCAGGTAGAGAGGGTGCGCTGGGAACCGCAAGGTTGGAGGTCTGAGTCCTGGCTGCCCCCATGTCCCATGTTGAAGTGTCCCCGAGCAAGACATCAAACCCTTAATTGCTCCCTGGGCAAAAATGTAAGAAAGCCACGGGTTAAAAATGTAGTCGCTTTGGATAAAAGCGTCAACTAAATGACCTTTAATGTGATGCCTCTTTGAGCAGAACTGTGAATCATTTCAGTATTTATATACTATTTATTTAACCAATGGTTATTGCCTTTGAATGACTCGTTTATATTTCTGTATTCTAAAAATAGGTCTGATTTGTAATCATAATAAAACCTGAAACTTTCAATTTGTTTGTGGTCTCTTCATGTATACACCAAGTGTCATGACAAATATCTGTACTGTCAGGTGGGAAAATAAAGATGTCGTCAGTTGACTTCTGCTGACACACTGTTTATGTAGAAAGGTTCAGCCGCCAGCTCCACACACACCATCCACATAAAACAAAGATATCAGTAGGAACAATTACCCTGACCTGGCAGGATTTAATGTGTTTCTTCAGAGGGCCAGGATGAAGCTTTCCCCAAACACAGACCTCTCAATCTGTTTCACGTCCAATCCATCAGGTCAGTAACAGTTCTGCAGGAAGAGCTACGGAGTAGCTGAGGTAATCTGTTTTCACGGGGAACCACTATTGTTCGTTACAGTAGATTCACAGAGTTCCATGTAACTTCTGTAAACAACTTGAACTCGCAAAGCTTCAGGGAAATGACATACGATAATAAATCATCCTTTTTCAGAGAATTTTATTCCTGTGTTGGCTCCGATGTTCAATGGTGACCCCCCCCCCCCCCCCCCACTGTGGTCTACTTCTATTTGAAACGGTTATGCTTTGTTTTTCTCTTTTATTCGATGTACCGGCCCCTGATTTGCCACCAAGTTTACAGGAAACAAAGTGCATTTCCAAAAAGTTCTGTTCAGGTATGAAAGGTCATTAAGTCACTCATTCATTCATCACATGCATTCACTCTGAAAAGTAAACATCCAGGTATTATGTGATAATGTTGGACTTCATGCACAAGTGAGAAATATAAAAGCCTTACAACGAGCCCGCTTGACCAAAACGTTCATTCACTTGCTGAAACACATGTATGAAGTTTTTACATTGGATGCGGTTGGAAAAGTAATTTAACAGCTAGCCTGTTCATATCAGTTTGAATTTTTTTTTATATCATAACATAGCAGATGTTAGTAAGTATGCTCATTCCACTATTTCATCCAACGGTATTCATCAATGCTATTATTATATTATTTTCTGTTTTATTTTTATTTGGTCAACCAACAGCTGTTTTTAGGTGACTGGTCATGAAAATGAAGGGGACGTTAATCCTTCTCGGTGAGTATTACTTTTAGCAATAATGCAAAATTGTATTGGATGCTGACTTGTGACTGCAGTGACTGTTTCTTCCTCTTCTGAGTTTGTATCCCTATGGTTGAATGCACTTATTGTAAGTCGCTTTAGATAAAAGCGTCAGCTAAATGACATGTAATGTAATGTAATAATGTAGTGTTGTTCTTAACTTTGTTTTTGTTTTTTCCAAACTTACATTAGGTATGTTGACCATGACAACCTTGGGCTGGAGGTATCATCACTCAGACACAAAAATGAACTGGGCCGAGGCCCGACAGTGGTGCCAGACCAATTACACGGACATGGTGGTCATCCAAAACCAGAAAGAGAACGACTATCTGGTCTCCCAGCTGCCAAAAAGAGAAAGAACTCCATATTATTGGATTGGGATCACTAAAAAAAACAAGAATGACCCTTGGACCTGGATTGGAAATAACAGCACGTGGATTGGTGAGAAGTCGTGGGCAGCGAACGAGCCCAACAACAACCACATCGGGGAGTTTTGCGTGGAGCTCTACGTGAATGGAGGAGAAAACAGTGGGAAGTGGAATGATGAGAAGTGTGCCAATCAAAAATACCCTGTTTGTTTCGAAGGTGTGCGGAGCTCATTCGCTTTGTTTGGTGTCACAGTTTCAAAAATGTTAGATGCTGCTTCCTTACCTCATTTTTTCTTATCAGCCCAATGCAAGGCAACAACATGTGAAAGAGGAATATGCCAGGAGACCATCGATAACACAAGCTGCGTCTGTGAACATGGTTTTGAGGGAGACAGGTGCCAAACAGGTGAGAAATTTGCTATTTTGAGCGATGTCACAAAATATTACAGTAGCTGACGGGTTCATATTTTAAGTTTTCATATAATTCATATAACTTATATTTCATATAAGGTGTCAATCGTACACTTCTAACAGTTTTTGTTGGGTTTAATTATTCATGTCTGAATGCTGTGGATTACGTAAAGGTGGAGAATTTTAAAAACTTATTTCGGGGAAGGTGTCAAATAAACTTCCTATTGTATCCCAACTCTGCCTCTCAGCGCTAAAAGAGCTTTATAGATCATAGTGTTAATTTTCCACACTGCAACTGCACTGTTTTGTTTCTCCCCACTTCCCACTACCGACCTAGAACTAGAAAACTCTTTGCACTACCCTAAACAGCAAGTTGGTGATTGATTGCTGAGAACAGGATGTAGGATTTATTGCTAAAAATACACGTGGCATTGCTTTTTACTGCCTCTGTAGCTCATCGTGGAAACGAACACTCCTGCAAATGCTGCTCCGTATGAGGACATTTTGCCGTTAAATCAAAATGGTGACATTAATGTTTTGGGATCACGGCTTAATCCATTGTCTCCATGTTGTCAATTGTTTCTGCCATCATTATCGGGCCCCAATGCAACCTTAGAATGACGGAAGCCTTTCAATTTGCTGAGATTGCACACCAGAAAACTGACACTGGCAGAAATTTTGGATGTTGTAGATTTTTTAGCAGAGTAATATGTCACACTCTGATGTTATGGACTTCCTTATCTCCATCCTCAAAATATCCTTTGCATAGTTCACTGACCCAGTTCAAATGTCTTTCTGGACTAAATTTGTCGTCACAAGCCTCGCATCTGTTTCCTCTGTTTCCTGAAGCCGGGCTGAGGCTCCCGCTCAAAGTACTCATAACACTTGCATCAGCATGTACTTTCATACCTGCATCCACAAACTTGAACCTGTTTGTGCCCCCAGCGAAGGAATGCCCCCCCCTGTCTCAGCCCGATACTGGACACCGTAGCTGCTTGAGGGGAAAGCTGACGTCCAACTCAACCTGTGGACTGAAATGCTACCTGGGCTTCCTGATAACGGGACTGCAGGATTTTACCTGCAATGTCACCGGGGACTGGAGTGGGCCGAGACCTCATTGTGCAAGTAATGCTGTGAAGTCGTGTGACCCATTGTCCTGGTTTTGCTGTTTCTCTGCTCTGTGATGAGTTATTATTTCATGGGCAGTGGGAGCAAAAGTTCAAGTGATATCTATCGAAATGAAGTTATTGCATGACTCAGGATATGACCAGCATTTCTTCTCCTGTCAGTCTATGAACAGGTTATGTTTGCTGTTGCTGGGTTTGCAGCCTTTTCAGTCTTCTCCTGCCTCTGTTTTTGCTGCATACGGCGCAGAAAAAGTTAGTATTTCTCAATCTCAATCCCGAAAAAACTGAGATGCACGTAGTTGCAACAGGCCTCAATACTGAACTGTTTTCTGTCTTGTGATTTCTCATAGGAAATAAACCTTCCCAAGTAAGGTCAGTACTTTTCCAAAGCCACTCCACCCATTTACCAGTAATGCATTCTTGAAGAGTTGAACAGTTTACTGCTTCCGTTACCAACAATGCTAAAATATTCGACGTTAAAACTGTTATTCAGTTCAGTAAATCCTCCAGTAAGTGACCCTTTATCGTCAGTCTGCTTGTCTCTTACAGAGAGCCTGAAGAAGCGACAGGTCCATCCAATGAGGCACATGGATAGCGTACAACTGGGACCTAATTTATATCCACTATATGTTATATATCTATAATGACCCCAATGCAGTTACTCGTATTCATTTTAGTACATTGATTTTAAATTAACCTAAAACGCCACTCGCTGCTCAATCGGTGTTCCACAGTTTATTGCTTTGTCTAAATCACTGCATGTTAAAGCTTCATTGGGTTAGGCTGCATGGATGTAAATGTATGTGATGGTTCATTGCATTTGCATGCAAGTGTAAAATGATTTAACAACATCAGAGGTGAATTTCTGTGATATAATTGTTTCATTAAATAAAATAAATGTAAAATGTGTGTAGTGGATGTGTGTCTGTGTATTTGTGTTCCCAGAGAGTTACGGGTGGTAGAGTGGTGTCTTTCCTGAAAGAAAATCACGGTAAAAAGGTACTATTTCAAAATCAGGCAATGACTTGTTGCCTGCAGGACAATTAATAGCACTTTGCCATCGGTTGTGGAGCACATGCAACAACAACAAATGTTAAATCCTGTGAAATATCAGTGTGAGTGTTACACACTTTCATGCAGTTATGAGACAAAGTATTTTCTTATTTGAGATGCTTCAAGAATCCGTTGATACCAGACAAAGCTAGCATGACATTTGGCTGATAGTTACACTCATTTCTCCAAATGTAGGTCTGCATAATCCTACAGGAATCAAATATGTTTTCAAGGCGTGGCCATTTATTTCCGATGTAAAGGTTTGTCACGGATGAACGGCGTCTGAGCTCCCCCCCTTCCGTCGCACCCAACAGATGCAAGTCCACCTGTGAGCTCAGGTGTGACGATAACGTGGTGACCACACCGGCCAATCTTCAAATGTAATATTTTGCTGTACGATTCAATGTCCTCATTGGAACATTCTGACCTGTAGGCTCGGTCATTTAGTGATAGTAGCAGTAGTGATTTAATGTTATAATAGCTATTTTTTATCTGAATATTAGTTTGTGAAATTCTCTACAGCTGACACTTTTCATATAACTTCCTCTTTTGTTAAACCTGTGAATGGATTAACTGCTTTTTCAAATACTTAGCTGACCGCAATTGAAAGTTCCATCCTGTCTAGACTGCACAGCGGATTGGGTTCAGGTCAACCCTGTCGTCACTTTGCCTCACACTCATTTTGTCCGCATTCGAGAAACAACATTGCAATCTCCTGTGGGTTTCCCTTGGCTGTAAATGATGTCAGCATGGTTATTCAAATCCCCCACCTTGTGATCATGGTGTGTTTATCAAAGTGAAATCATAATGCACAGTTGCTTTGACATCTATCATAGGAACACAGTGTGATTTCCCCTCTCGGGCGTCGTGACAAATCTGGACACTCTGGAGCCTTTGTCCTTTGGCACGCAGTGTAAATTCACCGACCATGAAGGTGACTACCTGACCAGAGAGGAGGACACATTCTCCTCTCTGGCCTCGGGACATTGGAGCAACCCAATGGGACAGAATGCGCCTCCCTGGGCATGTGGACCACGAGCCCACCAAATTGCTTGGTAAAGCTCTTTCCCCTCTCTCTGTTCCCCTGCAGAAGATCTCCCTCGCACTCCTTGGTCTCAGTCTCAATTTGTGTGACACCACGTCAGCTGTGTCTTTGAGCCGTCACATCCGTCATCAGTAACCGGGGACTTGAGGGGAACGCCGAGCAGATGAGGTTGATTTCGACCGAAGCTGATGGTCACATCTTTCGTTATCTACAGCGCAGCCATGCCCTCTGGTGGCCGAGGCTCCCCCAACATGGGAGGAGGAACGCGAGCGCTCACAATAACCTAAACGTCCTTTTGTCCTGCTGGCATTCAGAAAACCGATCCGATGTCAGTAATTACAATTCCTTTCCTTTCCACATTTAGGCATTGTCCTTCATGAACTCCTCCCGTCCTCTGGGGAACTTCAGCCTCAGCACCCGGCGTCTTTTCTACTTCTGAAGAGGGATTCTCCCTGAATGGCACAGATGTGCTGCTTGGCTCCTTCTGCTTGGAATGACAGCCTGCCGAAACGGCGTTGAGCATGTGATCAGGGTTGGCGTTCTCTGTTGTACCACATGTGTCCTCCTCAATAAGAACCGAGACTGTTGGGTCGGTCGGGGAAGTGGCAGAAGAGCTCTGAGATTACCAGAGTGACGCAAGGTGTCAGTTTAATACATCCAGTGACCCGGACGGTGCTGTCTCTGAGTGGTAATGAGGTGATCCATTATCAGTCTATGGTGCGACGTGTCACACTGGGCACCGATCCCACATTTAAAGGATATTAGATCAGAGCTGATATGTTCTATGCCAAGTTATGTGTAAACCCATTGGCTGTTTAAGCATGGCATTTCCATATGGCTATATCTAACGCATAGAATCTTCCCTTTGTAATTGTGCCAATAGCGCACCCCCAGACTTGTTCTGGAAGTGGCCAATGGAGCATCTTCAGCAAAGCGTGGGCATCTGGGTTGGCGCTGCAACAGCATGAAGCCAATTATAGCGGTTAAAAGACAGAGGGTTTGTGGCCTGCGGTTGGCATGAAGGGTGCAATAAATAACCACACTGTCGACAGGAAACTGTTTGGCAACCGTCAGAATAATAATGAGGTTATTGCTCCTTGCTGTGACCGTATGATCACGGTTTGATTATTTTTCTCTTCCCACCCACGGCTGCTGGCAGCCATGTTTGCGTGCCAACTGTGCACGGACTCGCACACGAAGAAGGGGAAAGAGCCCTGCAGGTGACCGCCTTGGCTCCCTTCCATGATATTTAAGTCTGGCTTCCCTCGCTTCATCTACCTCTAAAGATACAAGGAACTACATTATGATACTTAGTATCCAACAAAGAATGTTGTTCCAGCTAACACATGAGCACATGCGCACGCCCGACACTTCAGAGGGCCGATACTCAGAGGCTAGACTCAAAGAAATACACACTCGGTGTACTCTGCTGCACACTTCTGTAGCTCTGGTTGGCAGCAGCATAGCGCGGTGACAGACAGTTAGATTGTTCCTGACCATTGACATGCGCTCTCTGCTCCGCAAGATCTGATTTCATAGTGGGAAATATGAGACGGGTCCAGGAGAGGGTTCACGGCTGGGGCAAGCAGGCACTCCATACAGTTGGGGCTTCATATCTCTGTGTCACCCTGGGTTTTTCTCAGCCTTCCTCAACCGGGATTGGTGCATTCCAGCTGGCCACAGTACCTGGGTGGTCCCCCATCCCCTCCCTCTCCCCGCCGCTCTCCTTTCGGGTCCTCTATGACTGGAGGAAGGAAAAGGCAGAAAAATGCAGCGTGCGGCCTTTGACCGCGGGGAGCACAATGTGAGCGTTGATGATGGCGGCGTGGATGTGATGCTTACCTGCCACTGACCCATACAGCTGTCATAGCCCAGCGTCTCACAATCTGATGATCCACCCGACAGCCGAGGGAAGATGCTTAGCTGACCCGTCACCTGGATTGGACCGATAAGCACCGAGGATGGACTGACCCAGCTCTCACCCTCAGCATGAATACCCTTTCCTCATAATAAAGGAGCCTGAGCCTCATGCTCCCTCTGCCACATTTAGAATACTGAATATTCACTGTTTCATCAGCATTGTTTATTGTTCCTTGTTGATTCATTCAAGGTGAACGTCATACACACATTGCGAGAATAAATACACACACCCAAACCATTATTTACATTAGTAGATGCAGTAACAATATCATGATCTGGCATTCAAACATGAGTGAGAGAGGTCAGACAGCGTCGTGCATACAGTACCGTGGGACGGTAAAGCATAAGAGGCAGCCGTGTAATCGTGTCCACGTGCATGCGGTACATCGCGCGGGATCACCGCGTACCCACAACCCCTTGGAGGTGATTTTGCAACCACTTCTTCAACTACACCTTGTGCACGGCACAGACAGAGAAATTATGAGACCGGAGAGCGATGGAGAGTGAGGGAGACGAGGCGCTTCGACCTCAGGAGGTGAAGTAAGAGTCCTGCATGGAGTAGAGGCGGTCAATAGGGGTGAGCAGTGAAGAGTCTCCCAGGGACAGGCAGTCGCTATCAGCCACGTGACACAGAGGGTCCGTGTCCATGGCGCCGTACAGACCCTTAAAACCTAAGAAAGATACAACATCATTGATTACTTTTTTTTTCACTCAAACCTTTTGATGGGACCCATGCTGAAAAAATTTGAGTTTTTCTAATGCATAATGACACGGAGCAGGAAACTGAGGTCCAAGTTTCAGAGAATAAACAAACTATTGTTCATTTTAAATGCACAAACTAACAATGACAACCCAATATCAACAAATTATAATATTGTTTCCTTGGTTTGTTCGTTCTACCGATCCCACTTATCACAAAAACTTTGTCCAGAATTCCATCAAACATAAACATTTGTTTCTTCATCCCGGCTTGACGGCTCTGGGGGTTTTACCGTAGGGGTGCATGTGATCCCCGGGCATCTGAGGAGGGGTCAGGCCCTGTCTGAAGGGGTCCATGTCGTAGTCCTGCGGCTCCAGCGTGGTGAGGGCCAAGTGCTGCTGCTGCTGCTGCTGAATGTGGGTATAGGAGGACCCCAGGTGTTCAAGCTCAGATGTCAAACTGCCACAGGAGGGTGCTGTGGGGCAAAGGAGACACCCATGAGCTACAATCCGTTACCGTAAAGCTTTGGTGACCTGTGCTAACTTGTGAAGTTGCTAGCTATTTAGCATCTCTACTCTGTCAGAAATGTGGTATTGTTTGTTTTTCTTTGTCGGCTAAAAGGTCATTGAGAAATATTGTGGTACTTAAAAATGTATTAATTTTCTCAATACCTGTGTGATGTGGCGGATGCTCTCGCTGCTCCTGCGTTCGCTGTTGATCCTGTTGCTGCTGTTGTCTCCTGGCCAGCTTCTTCATCTAAAAAACATCAGGCATAAATCTCATACAGGCCCTGATGTCAAGCATTCGGTCTCTCTGCCACGAGTGTGTTCACTCAATTGCAAAAGTATTAACAGTGAGGTAAGTGACATCTTTCAGTGGAGGAGGGAAACCACACATGTGCCCACTCTGTGAGGAAATGTGGGATTTAATCTGCAGTGATCTTGCAATGAGATGTCATCAGTTTCCTGTATGAAGAGATAACCAGGCTGATTTCCACTCTGGCATAGAAACACGTGCCGAAAGATTTCTTTTATTAGTAGCGCATATGACTGTGTGTGTGTGTGTGTGTGTGTGTGTGTGTGTGTGTGTGTGTGTGTGTGTGTGTGAACTTTGAATTACTTTGGCTCTTTGGTTCTGGAACCAGACCTGCACAACCCGGACGCTCAGACCAGTCTCTGCTGCCAAGGTCTCCCTTACCTTGGATTAAGATTCAGGGGGAGGAAAGGGGGAGAAAGTACGAAAGGGTCAAAATAGAAGAGGTCACTTGAAGGGTTGAAAAAAAAAAAAATGGTCTATCACTTCACCGATCCGCCTCAAAGGAGGAGGAAAGCCTGATGCACTTATTACATGTATTTTTCTTGATACCTGCAAGGTAATTTAGTTATTGCTGTAGCATATCCTGCCGAACAGCTGAACACTTCTAGGAAAACTTCTTTATTATTTTTTGCATTGAAAATGTATGTATTTGTTCTTTTCTGAACACCATGAGAGCAAAATATGATTCAATGGTTTTCTGTCAACAGTGTACAACATTTGAACAGAGAATAAACACTCTACCTTTCTGCAAGGCTTCGATGAGACCTCGAAGGAGGCTTTAAAGGTCCGTCTTTGTTGGGTTGTCAGAATAGTGCGTGGTCTTTTGGGACGCTTGCTCTCCAGGTCTTCGGATCGAACTCTTCTGCCTCTGACCCTTGCAGATTCCTCCTCCTCCTCCTCCTCCTCCTCCTCCTCTTCTTCGTCATTACTTCTGCCTAGGGCAGACGTGTGATTGAAAAAAAAATGTTTATTCACAACCAATTGTTCACATATGCAAGACATGGAATCTGAGAGATTCAATGCATTATTTGCATTCTGCTAGTATTTTAGTCCGACCAAGTTTTCTCAACTTGTCAGATCTGTTGTTCACTTTTCTGCATTTCCCCAGAATCTAGAGTCACCCTGGAACCTTTACATTTCTTAATGAATAGATGCAAAAGTTGATCAATATTTGACATCTTATCATGATTTTTATTTATTTTTATTAGCTATGCCGCAGGAAACCTTGCCCCATGTATGTATTACTGTTTTTAATAATACAGTAGAAAGTTCAGGTTTGCTCATGTTAGTTCTACAAAATCACATGCTTATCAAATTCTAAACTGTCACAGAAATGACCACCAAGACACTGGGTCTAAACAACCCCTGTCCTTGTTCTTTCCAACCCAGTATTGCATGGCATCGTAACAAACCAGCGATTGGTGTACGTGTACAAACACACGTACACAAAACAAACCTGTACCTGTGTCCGAGGAGGTCTGGCTGGCCGCACACCGGTGAAAGTCCTCTCTGGCACACAGTAGCTGTCCCTCTCTGAGGACGCAGCGGTCTCCGGTCTGCAGGCGGCAGGAACAAACTCTGCAGGTGAAGCAGCGCAGGTGGAACACAGCGGACCCCGCACGCATCACCAGTTCTGCGGGAGAGATGGCCTCGGCACAGCCCCCACAACGCACTGCAAACAGACTGGGTGGGTGGGTGGGTGGGGGGGGGGGGGAGTGGAGAGTGTAGCGGACAGAAAGGAAACAGAGAGAAACTGTGAGAGCTCAGTAAATAACAGAGAGTGGAGCTTTTGTTTGGCTGCCCGAGAGCTGGAGTATAAGCTGAGACACTTGAGGACCCCTCGCTTCTCAGCAAGAAGGGACTCCATGAGAGAAAATACTCGGTTGACTCGGGGAATGTTGCTGAGTCGAGCTGTCACTCAAAACAAGTGCCAACCTGACTTCTACCCTCTCCTCCTCCTCCTCCTCCTCCTCCTCCTCCTCCTCCTGGCCCGGACCACTCAGACGCATACCCTCAGCGTGGCGGGGTGTGCATCTTAGCGCCTGGCAACCAGGACCGGTGGGCTTAGCCTCAGAGACTGTTGCCGTGGCTCCGGCTGCCTTGTCCGAGGCTGTGCTCCTGGGGAGGCAGGAGAAAAGCTCACGGCAGGCCATGGCTCCAGGCAAAGGGGGGGAATCAGATGCCCCGGTGGGAGAGGCTGAGCCGCCGGTACCATGAATTATCCGCGGAATTATCCCTAAGTCTGCTTTACCAGAGCGGGACAAAGACAGAGCCGGCCCCCAAGCAGCAGGACCATTGTCCGCTGGCTGGCACCGCGGCATTTTGGGTCTGTCACGCAGGATGATGCGTCATCATTCTGGAGCTGGCGTTTGTCTGCAGACCTGACTGGGTCAACAGACCAGTCAGCCCAGAGGCATGAGAAAGTGACAGCGGGTTTTTTTCTTCATGTTTTTGTTTTCACATTAAAATCCCAAAAGAAGAGCGTGCAAATGTCACTGATTTAAGCTGAGATTTCTTTCTTTTGCTGCTTTGTAGATAAAAACAGGAGCGCAAGAGTGGATTACATTTTTTTATTTTTTACTCTGAATAACTGAATGATATTGTCCCTTCAGTATTTATTTTATCTTTAATGTCTATTTTATTACACAAATGTGATCGTTCACTTTTTTTACACAGTACGTTTCTAAAATATATTACAAAATATATTACAATATATTACATACATTTTGGTCAATAATTGAATTTTTCATCTGTGTGTTTTATCTCGGGGAGCTTTTATTCCTGAAATGACCCGTGGTCACATGCCGTTTGAAAAGCAATTGTACCCAACAGAAAAGTACATCGCACGGCACAAAAAAATGCCAAGAGCAGTTGTGACAAAAGAAAGAAGAATAAGCAGAAATATTAGTGAGTGATTTCAGTGAATCCAAAACTCCCCATTAACTTTCAGCTGGAACAAATAATGCGTTTGACTTCCTATTGAATCCATGTTAAATTCCAATTCAGCACAATATTTACAAACAAACAAAACCTCCGACTAAAACATCAAGTAAACAGCCGGGTTGAGACATCCCTGTCAAAAGGTCCGGAGCCGCAACATCCTAAAGACAAACATTGCTGGGACCTCTTGCTGTTGCCGTGGGGTCGCTAAGGAAACGGCAAAGCCCATTCCCAGCAGCTCAGGAGGGTCAGCCTGGTTGGTTGACCCATCCGGGTCGTCTGCCCACCACGGCTTCAGTGGTATGTGCTTTAATATGGCCAACATACCGTCTGCGGTGTGTGCATTCCTGTGGCAACGGCAGATGCATCAACGAAACATTTTCCAAAAAGGAAGCGCGGCAGAGGGCAGTACACCCGGAACCCTTCCGGGTTCCTATGATACAGCAAATTGCCTGATTCAACGTCTCGCGGTGACTGCGGAGCCGCAATGTTCTGAGATGGTTCACGTTTCGAGAAATCGCTTTTCCATTTACGCGCCTCGTCCGCTTCCCCTCGTCGTACCCAGTGTTCTAAAGCGGCGTTAATGCAAAGGCAGGAGTACCTCCAGCGCTTATGAAGCCGCTCGTCGTGTTTAATATTTCAGAGTTTCCGTCGACGTGATTGGTCCAGAGGCCCTGCCAGGAGAGCGGGAACACTCAGTCGCGCTGGATTTAGACGTGGCAATTAGTGACAAGATGGTTGCAGAGGAGAAAAATCCTGCACTCCTGCACACTTACGATGCCGTGGTCGGCCACTCTCATGGTGGACGTACTGTATAATACAACGAGGGCAGAAATGCGTGCACACACACACACACACGCACACACACACACACACAAACACATTTACTCTGCAGCAAAGCCCTCCTCTCTCAATATTCCTGCCTTGACTGCTGACCTTTGGCAGACAGACTGCTGGTCTAGTGGACATGCAGAGATACAGATCCTGTTTCTGGATCAGGTTAACCTGGATCCTTTTCTGGTGCACACGCACACACACACACACACACACACACACACACACACACACACAGCGTGTATCAGATACAGATCTTCGGGTCAAGTGCGGCGGCCGTCACGCCGCTGATCTGACGAGCAACCTGCTGTCCGTCCACATGGCCTCTGAACCGTTCAGCCAAACTAAATCTACTGACAATCGGAGGGACCTAAACATCACACCTGCGTACGGCTTCATTTAATTACAGAAAAGTCTAACGTAGGTATTCTGTGTCCAGTGTGACTGCTTCAGTTCGGACAAACAAACTAAATGAATTGACCATATCAGCAGGTTAGCAATATCCACGTACGTGAAAGTCTTCCAAAGGATTGTTTTGTTGTGGGAAAAATATTTATCATCATAAATAACTTGAACCCTGTCAAGGAAGTAGATTAGCTTGTTATTACTATAATTATTGACAAAATTACTGTTACTGTTGTCATTGTTAAGTTTCTTAGTGCAGTTGCTAGATAGAAGAGATTTACCAAAGAATTATAAGATAAATGAATCAATTTACTAAAAAATGTTGAAAATAAAATGGACTTAAATCCATCCTCGAAATCAACTGCATCTGTGTGAAGAAAATGCGCTTCAGATCTAAATTAAATTAAATTAAATTAAAAAAGAATGATTCAATCCATACAGGAAATGAGAGTTTGTTTCGGAAATAATATTTAGAATGTTCCTAAAAAGGAATATTTAGTTTTTTACCTCGTATAATCCGTAGTTTGGGTTTAACATTTTTCTTTTGTTATGTTTGTTGGTGGGCTTTTGCTAAATGATGTTATTTATACCTGATCCAATCTGTCTTTTCTTACATAAAGAAATTTCTTTAACTCTAGTACGTCCTGGCATCTCATGAATAATCTTTCCACATCCATTAATTAACAATTGAGAATGCTTGTTATAACCTCTTGGAGTCGGTAATAAATCACATGATGACACGATGATTGAAGAGTAATAAGTTAAAACAAGGCAGAAGATACAGACAAATGTTGTGACAGTGTGAACACACTTTTTAAAGAAACCCACATGGTGGACAACAGCGGCGCTCATGTGTTCTAAGGGGCCTTAACCCCAGACAGGACGATCTGGGGTGGGGGGGGCGTGAGACCTCAGAGGGCGAGCTCTGGCACCAGGCCTCCTGCTAATTGGTCAGGTCAGATATCTCACGGCTGGCCGGGCGTCGTCCCATCGCTCCACACAGGGGCTGCTGTGGGCCCCAGCTTTCCAGATGCCGCGGCACACAGCGCCAGGGCTCACGGCCCAGCGCACCCCCCCCAAAAAATAAGTTCACACCATCCTCTGCGTCTTTCTTGAAGGGACGCTCCAGACCTTCAGACATATGGCTCTACTCTGCTAATTACCTCTCTCTTCTCTCTTTCTATGTGCATTTGGCCGATCCGTCCGCATCCCTCCATCCTTTACAAACTGTACTCTTGTCTTTTTTTTTTCCATTCTGCTCACAGTTATTGTGCTTACAGAGCTGCAGGCACCACTGCAGAGGGATCTGGTTGACTGGGCGGGGGAACGTGTAGCGCTTCTTTTCTCGTTTCCCTCAGCCCGCTTGGCAGAGCGACCGTCACTAAACTGATCGGGAATAACGCGAGCTGCTGCCCGTTAGGGTTTCGCCGTTTCTGGCGGTGGTTCAGGTGAGAACATGTTTTGGAGAAAGAATGGAGGCATGATGCAGTAGGCCGGGCGATGGGTGATGGTAGTGGGAGCTTTTTGTTTGGGGGTGGGGAGGTAAGGGGAGGTGGGTGGGGAGAGAGGTTTGGCCGCCTCATTTGACGAGACCATATGTTGTCCCAGCTTGCAGTTGGCCACGCCAATGGGCCTCGAAATTTTAACACTTTTTTGACAATGTGTCAGTTGAGCTCTACCCCTGGGTTGTGTGCTGTGTGTCTATGTGTGTGCGTGTTGTCTGAGGGTGTTACTGTGTTATTTTGTTTGTGCATGAGTGTGCGTGTGCGAGTGTGTGTGTGTGTGTGTGTGTGTGTGTGTGTGTGGATGTACTCTAACATTCCAACTCCCTTGCCACTCCTTCCTCCTCCAGTCACCTTGTTCTCTTGATGCACTGTGCCAAGTTCCCGGCAAGTCCGCTTGCACCGTACACAGTTTGCACTTATACAACTATACACGTGCACACACACACACACACACACACACACACACACACACACTCATAACAAAATCCTTTTGTCTTAACAATAAAAGCATCCATGTAATATATGCTGAACTAAGTAGGAATAGATGTGTTCATATTATAGTTTAAAGAGAGAGAAATCCCTTTAAGTCTCATTCGTTCTCTCTTTGCTTTTCTCCCTCATTCGCACACCAACACACACACAAACAGATGTACACAGTCAAGGTCAGATCTGGACAATAGGCATAATAAGGCACAACATTTTTAAGGGGCACTTCAAAAACTAAAATAAAGTTGATAAAATGAAAGAAAAAATGTAAACAGTATAGAAAATGTAACAAATACCACAGGATGTTTTGGGGGATCACGTGGACTTACTGTTGGTAAGATATTTACAACAAAAGCAGTATTGCCAAATACACTGCATCATGTGACTACAACAAAATTTAGAAAATGAGAAATAATTATCTGGCACTCTAATGAATTATTATATGTAAATCCTTTCATTGAGTAAAAGTAAATGTATCCCAATATAAAGTCAGATGAGCTTATAACCCGGATGGAGGTGAAAGTGAGCTTCTCTGCAGACTTTAAAAAAAAAAAGAAAAAAAAAGTAGACGACGTGTTTTGCGATTTTTCTTTAAAACTTCAAACCAAACCGTAATGATCAGCACTCACTCCGCGTAGTCCCGCTTGCAGTAAAGTTTGCGGCCCCGCAGGAAGCAGGAGGCGCGGAGCGCGTCCCCGCACGCCGCGCACCGCACGCAGCCCTCGTGCCAAAGGCCGTCAGTGACTCTGAGCAGGAATCGGTCTCTGATCAGCTGGTGGCATCCGGCACACACTGCCCCCTGATCCATATCTGCGAGGAGAGGGGGGGGTCCTTTAATGAGAACACTTTTCCAATCATCGCAAATAATGTCGATGGTCGTTAGAATTTAATGGGAGAGGAAAGTTGGTTAAAAGGGAAGCTTGTTTATTAAAATGTGGCTCCCGTTTTTTTTTCTTGACTGCTGCTTAATTAGACAAAATGAGAAGTTCCTTTGGTGGCCATGGGACAAAATAGTGGTAAGAAAACGGTACGTGTAAAAAAAAAAAGTTAACGAAAAAATGTTTTTTAAAAAATGAAATCATCCCGCCGCAGTGACGCAACATTACGGAAAAAACATTGTCAAAAGGCCTTTATTTGACTAAAGGAAATTCCTGGTAAATCGATGTAGTAAAAAGACAATTTAGATGTAGTTTTGTGAATTAAAGAAGGCCGTACCTGCAGAGCGCGAGTTTCCACACGCCGTCAAAGTCTTCGCGTTCACAAAGTCTTCAGATCTCAGAGCATCTCCGCCTCTCAAAGTCCTCCTGCGACCTGCCGCTCGCCGCAAAGAGCGCAGCGCATCAAAGTTTCTCTCCGCAGCCTCCGAAGACCTTTCTGAGTCCGCCGGTATCGACTATTTGGGCTTTCTATCAATTATCCTATTAGGAGTGAACGGGAAGGAAGGACGGAGAGAGAGAGAGAGAGAGAGAGAGAGAGAGAGAGAGAGAGAGAGAGAGAGAGAGAGAGAGAGAGAGAGAGAGAGAGAGACTTCCTGCAGGTGCCGGTTACCTCTCCCCCCCTCCCCTCCTCCCCCCTCCCCTCCCTCTCTCTGCCTCTCTCCCCGCATTGGATGTTACAAAGTTACCAGAGAGATGAAAGGTTTGTGTCTTTCATTATAAAGAAATAATGCGTACAGTGCTTTGAAATTAAAGTGCAGATTGGAAGGTCATACTTTAAGGTCACATATTTCAAGATAGATAGATAGATAGATAGATAGATAGATAGATAGATAGATAGATAGATAGATAGATAGATAGATAGATAGATAGATAGATAGATAGATAGATAGATGGATGGATGTATTGGTGGGAGGGAAAAATAGATGATAGATGGATAGAACGACTGATTAATTTGTTAATAAGATATATAAATCATATAGACTTTTTTAGGTTGTACTGTAGCTGTCCGCCAGTACTCTGCTTAAAGACCAGTTTTTCCCCTTAACTAATAACCCTCCTGCATTCAGACCTTTGCCCGTTTTTCTGCACTTGTGATTACAGCCTCCTGGTCGGATTTGTTTGCCTGGCCTGACTGAACAGTACCTCTGCCTCCATGAGGGTGGCGTGCAGGAGCCCAGGGGAAGAGCTTATATGCTTGTTCAGTATTGGCTCTTCTTTCCCCGGTGGAATCAAATAAAAATGAAAATAAGAAAAATAACCAGTCAACGTGTAAGTTGCCAAATCCTCAACTTATTTGTGAGCAGCAGGGTGTTACTGATGCAGAGGACCGTGTTTGCAGGCTTTACAGATTGCAACTGGAAAGAGGAGAGTAGCAGAATATCAACCTGCAGAGCGCGCGTGTGGCGTTTGCGTGCTGTGCACGCCACCTGGTGGGCTCATCAGGAAACGCATTTAACAAACACGTTGTGTGTGTTTTCAGTCATAGCAAATAATTATGGCTAACTTTGGTCTGTGGAATAAACAAAATAGTACTTGAGAAATGTTACTGAATCACTAATATAACTTAATATATATAGTTATATTAGTGATTCAGTACTTTTAGATAATTGTGTAACATCTGATAGACCCTGGGTGGATATTTGGGTCGAACATAATAACATGGGGGAAGTTGTTTAGGACTTTGATGCAATTCTGTAACAAGTTGTATAAAAAAGACAAGACAAATAAAACATTTTAGATACATTTTTAAATAACTTTATTCTGTAAGAATTCTCTAATGTGTTTTAAGAAATGCATTGATGGTTTCCGTTTTTATACAATTCCTCTTTGAATAAAATACAATTTATTTTCAAATTGCATTGGGCTGCTTTTAAAATGGACACTTGAAATGGTCTATTTACAAAAGAAATCTGTTAACAATTCTATTAGAATACATTTTGACACTGTACTCGATGCTCCGTCTCAAGACTCCACCCTCACCACGGCCTCAAAATACCTTTCTTAAAATTTTAATTACAATGTTTTGCTTGGTACAAAATAGGTGCTTTTACAATTTGATCAAGTCTTCATATCGCTTACTATGTGGGATTATATACAGGGGGGAAGGGGGGGGGACTGGTGTCATGTGATCTGATGCGGAGCCTCCAGCATCTCCATCAGGAAGGTGTCGATAGGCGTGTCCCCGATGAGCTTGAAGAAGAACAGATGCTCCAGACACTTGAGGCCGATGGAGCGCAGGGCGGGCAGGCGGAGCAGCAGCTTGGCAAACCTGCGGGAAGCGACGGAGAAGAGAAGGAACAGACTTCAGGATTCGTTATTTTATATTTACTTTCTTGTTAACGGTTCAAAATCTTTCAAATTCCCATTAATGAATAAGATAAGATATTAATATTCTGTTATCGAAACACTTTTTTAGTCTTAAATTAGAATTTTGACAAAATGTTTTGATCATCAAATACTATGAAATGCTTTTTTTTGTTTATTATGATCAAATAGTGCCTTTAGTTAAACCCAGAACGACCACCCACTTAAAACCTATTCATTTTCTAACAATGAATACTTTTACTTCTGATCGTTCAGTATTCTTTACCTCTGCTATCGTTTGGAATCTCTATGAAATAAGAATTCCACCTTGAATGCAGTTACATAATCAACAAATCTTCTTAAGAAAGTATAAGAATCCAACAATATAATGTTTAGTTTATTTCCACGTCTTTTTTTTAGGCACTAAACTCAGCAGCTGAAATTCACCACACTTAATTTGTTCATTTGACATCATCTCTTGATCTTATTCAGCTCGCGACAGTAAATGAAAAAAGACAATAGTAACACCGACGGCCTCTATCCTTTTAAATCTAATGTCCTTTCGAGTGCTTAAGAGCTGAGCAGCAATGAAGAAGTGAACAACGAAAAGCTGGTGACTGATCGTGATCGCCGCGGTGACGTCACGCGTCTCCTACCTGCCGGGCTGGTCTGGGTATTTCTGTTTTGTGTACGACTCCAAAGAGGCGTAAACCTTTTCCCTCAGCCCCTCAACCTCCGGTGGGTTTGAAAGACCTTTCGCGTCTGGAAAAAAACAAACAAACACTCATGGTAAGGCCAAACCGTACACAAATAAAACACGAGGTCTACGATATCTCCCATCCTAGTGGAAAGACGAATGGGCCCGTGGTGAAGCGGGCGCAGGCCGAGCTGACCTGGGTTGAAGAGGACGATGGCTCGCAGGCAGCCGAGCTCCGTTTTATCCATCTGCATGTCTTTCATTTTGGACACCAACTCTGTCAGAACTCTGCAGGAGATCAGATGGATAACTTTAGAGACTTTTGACAATGGAGGACACCAGAGAAAAAAAAAATATATATATATGTATATATTCTGCTCCCTCCAAATAATCACATAAGTGAAGCAGAGTTCAACAGCAGTGTTTTTTCGCTTACATAATCGAGCAAGTGGATCAGAAATCTACACACATACAGTATATAAAAAAATATATATCGGTGGACGTTGTTAAACCCAATGTTTTATATAAGACAATATAGTAACTGTGGCCTACCTATCAAAGATGGAGCCCACTCCGGCACTGTGGGCGCTGTTTCTGTGGACGTGGAGGCCCGTCGCCAACAGGATGCCATCTTTTACCGTGACGGAGCGATGCGAGAATGAGGCGATAAGAAGTTCGTTCCATCCTGAGTGCAAAAAAACCCCCCAAAACCTTTTATTCCTCCCTGTGACTCCTAATATTTGTAAGTAATACGTGCCGTCCTTTGCATTAAGTGTCCGTCTTCCCCTGATTATTGTTAGCTGTGCGGTGCGGCTGCTTAGTCACTCTGTGTCACCAGCAGAGGTCAGCGCTGACGTGGCTGCAAACCGCGCCGCTGGGACTCGGCACATAGTCCACATATATTTGGTTTCACTGCTCCATTAAACCGGGTGGCAAAAATGTAGTGAGCAAACGTAAAAGACTCAAATAGACGACCTGTCAGGGAATGAATAACTCCCCTGAAAGAAATGCTACACCGCCGCCACCACGAGGACAACAGGTCGCGGAGAGGTTTACTGTTCTAGAGAAACATGTGTTTTTAATTCTGTCCATCTCCTGCCTGCTCATATAGGCCCGTGCATACACCTCTGGTGCACGCAGAGGAGTGTGTGTGTGTGTGTGTGTGTCTACCTGCTCGTAGGAGGATGACCTGGTCGTCGAGGGGGAGCTCGGAGAAGTGCGGGATCCTTTTGGCCCACTCCACCAAGGTGAAGAGCTGCTTGTCGGCTGCTTGGCAGATATTGGTGACGGGGTCGTTGGTCTGGGAGAATGTAAAAATAAAACGTTCAGTGAATGTGCTCGTGAGCTGCTTTTAGGGACGGCTAAATGTGTCCAACAGCGGTTAGCAGGTGCTGCGGCTATATCCGGGTCATCGATTCCCTCAGTTAGACCCGACACCAAAGATCGACATTATGAGCTTAAGGTATCTAAAGCAGCAAAATCAATCTACGAGTAGCTCACTAATAAAACACAACCTCTGATTGTCACCGGTGTCTGAATTTCCTCTTAACTTGATCACATTCAGCTCTTTTACCGAGTTGCTGGGGCTGCCGTCGCTATACGTCTCAGTTTTGGGCTCCACGGCCAGCTCGGCGTCCAGGATCTTGTCCACTGGCATTTCCTCGTTGAAACTGCTTGTAGATTCCACCTCGCTCTCCCCTCGCTCCCTTCCGCGCTGTCTCTCTTCCTGCACGGCTGCACACACACACATGCATGGACACCCCTGTGATAATCGCCATCCACTAGATACAAGCAAACTATGAAGTATGACATCACAAAGTTTAGCTTTGCACGTGAACAAAACAAAAAGAGACTCTCTGCTGCACGGACTTTAACAAGAAAAATAAGTAAAAAGTAAATAAGTGTGTTCATTTGTAGAATTGCTGCCAGGTATAATGCATTTGTAACGATGGAAATAACGATGAAGCCGCTCATACGCTGATCCTTAAAGCATATCACACCTGCACACACACCTTCTCTCTTCATGCCCATGGCCAGGCACTTCTGGTAGCGACAGTATTGGCATCGGTTCCGCTGGCGCTTGTCGATCAGGCACTCCTTGCTGTCCCGACACGTGTAGGAGAGATCTTTACGGACGGTCCTCTTGAAGAAGCCCTTGCATCCCTCGCAGCTGTACACGCCGTAGTGCTTTCCTGCGGACAAACAGACGACGCCGTCAGCAGCAAGAACGCGTCAGGCGACAAAGGTGGAAAACCTGTATTGGGAAGATTCCTTCGTGTCACAAATGAAAGCGTCCCCCTCCTCCCCTCACTCGCTTTAAGAGCGCCTGTTGTCTTGTGTTTTTTGGAGGAGAAAAACAATCGACGCAATTCCCGTCGCATCCATTTCTCTATCTGAATTTTCCCTCAGCTTTCCCTCAGCTCGTTCCTGACTCGACCCGTCTGCTTTCAGGCCAATAACACTTTGGAAATTATCAAAGTCAACATTGCACAAATAAACCTGACAAAAAGCCTGA